TACAGCTGAATCGATTACCTTGAAATGTACTCAAGTACGGTAAAACTGCATCTTTTTTTAAAGTAAGAAGTAAGCATTCCAGAGATTGCTCTAATAAGAGGAAAAAAATACTCTTAGAAAAGTTGCAAACTTGCAAAAATGGGTGAGGAGAATGGATCTGTAGATGAGCAAAAAGAAAAAAAAAAAGAAAAAAAAAACCCCTCCCCAAACAGCGAGGTGCTGCATGCTTTCTTGGAGATCCCATTCTTCCAAACATCTTTAAAGCAAGAGAAAATCAGGAATGTAGTTTATTGTTTTGATGCAGTTCTACCTCTAGTAAGTTTAATAATTTCCCCGGTTATTGAAAACACATGATTTTAAATTAAACCATATGTTTACTTTTCTCACTAATTAAAGTCAATAGCCAAAGCACAAAGTAATCATTTATGGATTACAACTGTAGGCTTTCTAAATAGTTTCAGTTTGCTCTATCCACTTTGTAAGTGCTGCATTTATGACTTTTTTTTTTGCACATTATCCTAAAAGTTCAATTCAATTCCTTATTGCAAACACAAGGAAATAAAAAATAAAATAAAAAAACATTTACCGTAGTATGCTCACCAGTAATTTCCAAAGCAATGCAAGTACAATCAAGTTTACAAAATGGACTTTGCAAACTGATATTTGATCATGAAACCTCAGTGCAGAAGGTGGGAAACAAAAGGATCCTAACTAAACTAGATAAAGCTGTTTCAGAGAAATAGCAAGTCAGAAAGCAATAGGCTAAACTGTAAGCTGAAAATGACAGAAACTGCTAAAATTATATGAAATAGAAGAAAAGATAAATGCTTCATTTCTTTGTTGAAAAGTAGCAGAAGCAAGCAGTAGCCAACAGCAGAAACATCTCTGGTATGCTATGAATTGCTCTAATAAGAGAAAAAATATTTCTTAGAAAAGTTAGTTGCTATTTGAAAGGATAACATTAAATAATTAATGTAAATAGGAAACATTATTGCAAAATCAAAATCTATCACAACAAAGGAAAGAGCAGAAAACACTTTAGAGGGAGGAGGAAACTATAGGAGGACCAAGGAAATACAGGAGGAGAGGAGACACACAAGAAGATCATGGACTACATTGAGACAATGAGATTGATAATGTCTGGAAACATGTTTATCCATAAAGTTTTATTGGTTTGAAACACAAAATAATAACATTCAGTCAGTGCAACATTGGAAAACAACAGAAGAATCCACAACAACAAGGGAATCTGATAAAAAAAAAAAAAAAAAAAAAAAAACATTCTTCAGCTAAATCTCAGCTCATTTTCAAGTCCATAAATTTTGGCTTTCAGAGCCACCAGCTCATTCTGAACTTTTTTTGTCCTCGAGTTGGTTTGCCGTACTTCATTTAAAATGGCTAGGTCCTGGTTGGGCCCAATACTCAAGGTGACCTGAAAAAAATAATCCAAAATGATGTGGTTTATTTATGCTAGCGTACTGATGATGAAATTAATAACTGAGAGTCTGGGGCATTTTTACCTTGACAAGCTGGTTCTCCACATCTTTGAGCTTTTGTCTGAGGTGTTTCAAATCCGTCTTGAAACCCTCCACCTCCATGGCCCTTCTCTTCTCCAAAGCCTTGTAGCGCTGAGTCATGAGCTGGAGACGCTTGGCCATTTTTTCTGAACGCTCCTGAAGAATAATCAGATAATACAGAAGAGATTCATAAAAAAAAAGAAATAAACTAAATAAACACGGTTAAGTATTTCTAAAAGCAGCAAACCTTAAATATTTCTCTGCCTACGTCTCCTTCCTCTCTGATCTGGGACAGTTCGGTCTCCATAGTGATACACTGCTCCCTGTACATCTCTGCCAACCTGTGAGCTTGTTTCAGTTCCTCCTGTAGAGCCTATTAAAAACAAAACAGCCAATAAGTAAATGGTCATGGTGTATTCATGACTGAAATACAACTATACCGCTCAGGAAATGTGAACGAGTGTTCAATAGAAATAATCTATCAGCTTTTTACCTTTCTCTCCTCTTTATGTGGCTGTGCCAGCTCTGGTTGCGTTCGAGGCATCACAGGAGCTGATCTGCTGCTGCTGGGCTGCCCTGATCTTCCCAGGTCAGCGCCACTGAACCCAGTCTTTCTCATTCGGTTGTGGAATGAGTCTAGCTCTCTCAACAGTCGATCTTTTTCTACCATCCAGCTTTTCTCCTGGGCCCGAGCGTCAAATTTTAGCTGTAAGAAGTCTTTTGTGCTTTCATGCAACAGGTTCTGAGTCTGCTGGAGCCTAATGCATAAAAACAAATTAACAACAAGTCATCCAGAACAGTTCTGTCAAGGCAGAATTGATTAGAAGATGCAATGGACATAAGGTGAGAAACAGAACGAACTTCTGATTCAGCGCAGCAATGCATTCCTGGTCTCTCTGTCGTTGTGCCTGAGCTTCCTCTGTTTTGATCCTACGATCCTCCAGGAGAGCTTCCACCTGTTCTTTGTTCAGACGTGTCTGTTCCTCCATCTGAGCCTGCAGGGCCTCCACCTGTAAACACAATCCAACAGTGTAAAAATAACAACTGAAAACATGTTCATTTTCTTGTAAGTGGCATTTATCAGAGCCAAAGAGAACATGTCCAGGAGGTGGAGCCATACCTGTAACAGCAGCGTCTGGTTATCGCGCTTACACTGTTCCAAGCTCTCACCATTAGAAACACCAACTGCTTTGCTTTTCCTGAATAGCTCTGTTTAAATATATAGATAAATATTTCATTTTATTCTAAAACACACATTTAAGTGGCTAAAAAGAAGCAAAATAGATGCTTTCAAACCTTTTGCAGCCGAAGCTGTTCTTAACTTTGTTGGCCTTAGACTGAGATTTTCATCAAATCTGGACTCGGGGAGCCTCTGAGTAATCGTAACCTGAAAAAACAAACACAATGTGTCATGTAGGGTCTCCACATTTCAATGTGAATCTCTTTTAATAAAGACAAAATAAAAACCTCAAAAGATGAAAATAATAATAAAAAGGAAACATTTTTTGGACCAAAATCAACTATAATATACTTTATATGAAACAACCAAAAGCACAGTAAAAAAGTATAAATAAATTCAAAATAATTTAAACAACGTAAGAACCACCTCAAAGCCTTAGACATTTAGGTTATCTTCATCATCTTCAATAAAAAAGGGAGACAATGACTTTTGATAACTTCATAGAAAGAACTGCTAGTGTTATGCAAGCATTACAGTAAAAATAAATAAATAAAGCTTTTTTTTTCTTTTACTATGGTCTATAAGCCAGAGCAAATTGGATGTCAAAGATAGTAGAGATACCAGACATCTCTGCAGTAGTGACTGTGTACCACCTTATGAGGAGGCTCCTGGTGGAAGTATGTAATCTCCCCTGCATCAGGACCAACAAGAGCAAGAAGGTGTTGGATCTTTTTCCTGTCCTCCAACTCTCTGTAGCAATAAATGAGAAGACACACGGATAGAAGACAGTCAAAATAGCATATAATTGCAAATAATAATAGCATATAATTATTAAAATGACCATAATCAGTCATAAGACAAGCAAAATAGAAAATACGTATATCATAGTATTAAAGTGACTATACTGAGGTACTATTGGTGGAAACCTTTAAAAATGAAGACAAGAAGACCAAAAACCAAATAACTTCTGCCACTACAAAATAAATTACATTTGAATGTTTTTTTTTATAATATACCAATAGTTTTAGACCAACCAATAATTGGTCTAAATGGAAACTGATTAATTTTCAGAGAACAAATTTTATTGAATTGATTGATAAATGATGATGAGAGATAAGAAAATCTGTTTCCCTCTGATTTCAAATTGTTGAAAACATCAGGTTTAAAGAAAAAAAAGAATGAATGACGCCGTTTTTAGAATTATGTTTTGTCCAGCACACTGCACCTACCTGATCTTCAGTCTGTCATTTTCTGCATAAAGTCGTAGAGACTGCTCTCTTTCCTGGAAAAGGTAGACCTGCATGTCACTCAGGGCATTTTGAAGCTCTGCAATCTCTCCTTCCCGCTGTCGTATGTCAAACTGCAGTTTGTGCTGGAAAAGTGTTGACAGAGAAAATAACATTTAAAACAATCAGGAAGAGATGAAAACTAGCAAACCAAAAAAATAAAACATTGTCTGTTGAATCCCACCTGGTCATCTGTGATGCTTTTATATTTCTCGAGCATTTGCAAAAGCTCTTCATGTTCATCATCATACTGGGCTATCTTCTGTCTGTAGAACTCCAGCAGCTCCCTGGAAGGACGGAGGTATGCAAGGCGCTCATGGATGGGAGGAAGTGGGGAATCCACATCGTTACCAGGGGAACCAATGTTGACTCTGTAGTAAAAGAAGACGTATGACTCCTTTTAAAGATAATTAAACCCCTTATTAAGCAGCAGACCTTTAAAAGCTTAACAGAAACAGTTATGATTACAAGAGTATGTCTGTGACCCTGAAAAGGATCTGACTTGCAAACTTTACAAAATGGGTGAGGAGAATGGATCTGTAGATAAGCAAAAAAACAAAACTTCCCCAACCTGCGAGGTGTTGCACGCTTTCTTGGAGATCCCATTCTTCCAAACATCTTTAGAGCAAGAGAAAAATTACAGTGAATCCTCAAATAAAACACATAGATAGATGCAACTTACAGTCTAATTAGAGTCCAGCTTCCACTGAGATCAATGACAAAAAAAATCAAGTAAAATATTCAAAGAAAGAATTACATAATCAAGAATGTAGTTTATTGTTTTGATGCAGTTCATTATCCCAAAATGTTCAATTCAATTCTTTATTGCAAACACAAGGAAGGTCCATAAAAAAAGAAAAAAAAATAGTATTTAGTATGCTCACCAGTAATTTCCAAAGGAATGCAAAGTACAATCAAGTTTACAAAATGCACTTTGCAAACTGAGATTTGATCATGAAACCTCAGTGCAGAAGGCAGGAAACAAAGGGAGCTTAAGTAAGTTAAAATCTCTGTTGGATAATGTCTCCCACCCTATGCATGAAGCTGTTGCAGACTGCTGCACCCTAAATGCACCAGGGAAGTGTTATCAAAGATCCTTCCTCCCAGCTGCTGTAAGACTTTATAATCACCACTGTTCACAACAATCTCAATAAGTTGTAACATAAATGCTGATTTGACATAGTTTCTATCTTAGTTAAGTAACATGCTGCAGTCATTTTGTGTCATTTTATGCTATTTTCAAATATCCATTACTGTAAAAATGTCCATAGCTGTATATTGGTTATTGTTAAAACACCTTACAGTACAGTATGACAATGTTTATCTTTTAACTCTTCACTAGTATGTTATTCTTATACATTTTTCTTAGGTCCACATTTGTGTGACAAATTTTTCTATAATGTTTTTGCTGCTTTAAACACCAGAATTCCCCCAGTGTTGAACAATTAAGGGGTTTTATATTCTATTCTATTCTATTCTAAAAAACAGAAGCCTCTACAACACATTTTATATATTAACCAAGCTAAACCGGTTATATATTAACCAAGCTAAACCGATTCTGAAAAGAATATGCTGTAACAATTCACTAGAGGGGAAGGTACATGAATTTGTGGCATTACTAGCGTCGAGACATAAAGTTTCACATTTAGCTATAACAACCATTCAGTAAATACATAACTAAGAGAGGTCCTCTAAATCCCTTTCAAAGCATTATAAACGCATTGTAAAATGAACTTTTACATACAGATGAAGATGTTTCCAGAGTCAGAGCTGTTTTGTTGCTCAGAGCAACCGTGCTGCTGTTTTTAAATCCAGCGCTTCCGGCGCCTCCTCCTGAAAAACGCAGACGAAATTCGGAGCGCCCCCTAACGTTCGGCGGTGCGCTAGGGACGCTTTTTCCTTTAAAGCTATAATATCAATTCTAATTTAATTAATTCGGAACATATGAGTTCATTGTAAATTTAGAGTAAAATTAAAGTTTTGTTCAATACAGCAGCAAATATCATACGTGTATTCAAGTTTGCTAATAAAAAAAAACGATACACGTATAGGGCTGTTGAATTTCAAAATAAAATACATTTAACATGTTATTGGATGGAGCAAATGATCAGCATTATCTGAAATATAATTCCAGATAAAGTTTTATAAATCATTCATAGCACTATAATTATTCTTTTACGTGACATTAAACAGTTCTTGGCGACACATATAAACCGGAAATTGATACCTGGACTAACTTGACGCACTGACCAGGGTCAGTCCTGTAAAACTTCATCAGCGCTTCTCTGGTCGGACTGGTTTTCTTTGTCTCGTAGCGATGGAGAGGAAAGTTGCCCGAGAATTTAGGCACAAGGTAAGATAAGAAATGTTATTTATTTTACTCCGGTAACGTTCTGAAAATAACCCAAATTGAATTGTATGCTGCTACCTGGTTGTTCTCAGGTGTCTCCTCTGAAGGGGATGTTGCGCAGTGCGCACAAGAGGCCTGTTGCTTAGAGAGCCCAGACTGTCAAAAATTATGTTAAATTATTTAAAATAGATTATCTAGAAACTAAACTTTATTAAGGACTAAACGTTTTATCTCTCCTTCTTTGCCGATTTAATAAAAAGCGATTTTTTTATTATGAGAGGAGCTTTGGGTGGAAAAGCTAGTAAATGTTTTTTTGTTTGATTATAAATTCTCACTTAAAAAAAAACAAACAAACTTATTTTTAAGACAGAAGTATCAAAAAGCCCTTTCAATTTATTTCCCCACTTACTATAATTATTTGCTGAATTTATGTGGACTTGAAACATAAAAAGGAGATATCTCTTTAAAAATTCACTTCAGTTGGGAAAACAAAATACAATGGTATCATAAATACTTTATTTCAAAGATTAAAATTCATTTCTATTGGGCACTCTATTGTTAATGACAAAATGTATATGAAGCATATTCTTAATATTTGGTTGTAGTTGCTGTTGACACCACAGTGTTCAAATTACTTTTAAAATCATGAAAGAGGATAACTGAGGAAGGACACCTGATATGGTTGGGGCATTTTTATCCACAGAGCATGCAGGGATCAGCACACAGCCATCTGTGCTGCACACAGCCAAGCAGGGAACCATATTATCTTCATAAAGGGCAACACAGTATTAGATAATGTGCCACACATGAGCATCCAGGCAGAAGATGTGGCAATTTATGGTTTTAATTAGAGGATCCCCACAGACAGTCTTTTGTTTATTTTCCAGTCATGAGCCCTTTGTCCCAATTCACTCAAATGTATTTTAGAGTAGATTTTTCTGAGCCTCAAAGCACAGACGTGTGTCTAAAAAAAAATATTGTTAATCATTATAATGCATCCGTTTCTAAGTAAACACAGAATAATTTACTCTTTATTTGGAGTATACCTTTCTATATAACTGTATGACACACACACAGAGGAATCCAACTTTATTTTATGGTTCCAAAGTCTGTAGTCCAGTCCCAGGAGAGGCTGGCAGTTTCTTGCAGCACTAAGCAACAGACATTTATAATGGTCATAAAGTTCTGGGTGTATTCTAAACACACCTGTTTTTATCAAGCTGACCTGTCCTCATAAGACACCCTCATCAAAATAACATTCGCATTCCAATAAATGACAATGTCACTGTATCTATAGTAATCCATTTCAAAAAGTAAAGACTTTATTTCTTCTCACTTTTAAACGTTAAATATTCATCGTATCTATTTTTTAAAGTAAAGTTTGCCAAGAATATTTCTTTTTGTTTAATGACAGAAAAATAAGATTTTTTTTTATATGGTTTACAAACTCAGAAGTTTTGCATCTACTGATATTATGCTTTTAATGAATATGAAATACCCAGATAATGATGTCATTCTCTGTAAGGCCATGATTGGTTATTTAACAACATTGGACTGAAATTAAGGCACATTTGCATTACCTAAAAAGACAGTTTTAGTGTGTGGCATCATGGAAAAATGAAAAGAAAAATGAATAATACACAGTGGAGCAGTTGGATGCACTGTTGCCTTGCAGCAAGAAGGCCTTCGGTTTCTGCATCCAATTCACCCTGTGTATATGTGGGCTCTCTATGGACAAAACAGGACCAAGATGATGCAGACAATGGATGGATGGAAAATAAGTACTGTGATGCTCCATAAGTCTGCTACAATGTTCAGATCCCAGAAGATGTCACTATTATATTTTCAAACATATATGCCAAATTAAGCTCCATGGAAGTCCAGCCATCATACCATTCAGAGTGAAGTTTATTCTATATCTCAAGAAGGAAGTGTGGGGATTGACTTCTTAATGAGAGCACAAGGCTTATGAAAAGCTGAAGCCTGTAGGACTTTGTCCACAATGAAAGAAGTTGTATAAACACAGCCTTAAAGGTCACTCATAGAGGAAGAAGCCATCATGTTAAAACTCACATGAAAGCCAGATTGCATAACAACAAAAAACTGATTTTTTAGAGGCATCTCCTGTAGACTGAAAAAAACAAACAAACAAACAAATTAATAGATAAAAATAAAGTGTTTGGAAGTAATTAATGTTTTTTACATTTTGGAGGAAATTTGAAGGCTCAGAACTCAGAGAACATTATCCTGACTGTTGAGTACAGGAGGGGCAGCATAATGTTGTTAAGGTGATTTTGCTCAGACTGAGGATCTTCATACCAATAGAATACATCATGAAAAAAGAACGATATAGGCAAATTTTGCGAAATCAGCCAGAGAGTTAAAGCTCTGGTACAAACTTTAACATTCTGGCTAAATAGACATTAGTTCTAATGCAACACAACTAAAATATGTAAAATATATGTTGACTTCTAAATTCCAATAAAGTAAAAACAAAACATGTAGCAGTGCATTTTGAAACTAATCCTTACTTTTAATTTGGGATTTTGTTAATAGAAAATGTATAGAAAATAATAGTACCTGCATCCAAATTAGGACTGCAACTAATGATTATTTTGCAAATTGATTAATCTGTTGATTATTTTTTTAAATAATTGATTAATTGTATAGCGAAAGGTTCCTTTAAGAAGATTTTTTTATTGAATTTCAACCAGGTAAATCTAAAAATTTTCCACTTGAGAAGTTCTGGATAGAGCATATTGATATGCAATTTTTTTTTTTTACTTAATTTTAAATTCTTATTTTTAAGCAGTAATTATACAATTTTGTATAATTACTGCTCCAAGTGAGTCGCTCTGTCAGCTAAAGGCATATTTTACAATCGCTATACTCCAGTTAATGATTAATTGATTACTAAATTAGTTGATGGTTATTTCAATGATCAATTAATCACGACTAATTCAATGAATTGTTTCAGCCCTAATCCAAATATACTGTTACTGAATGAGATTGAGTTTTTAAACTCCATACCTAAAATACTTCTTGCCTTTTCAATACAATAAAATATTATATTTATTCTTTTAGAGTCTAGGACAAGATTATGTGTGAACGTTGGGTGTCATGCCTGTGAGATGTAAGCTGACACTCCTGACCTTCCTCCTGCTGCGTCCTATCGTTATTGTCTCCCAGTGGTTTGACAGAGAAGGACAGCGGGCATAGATTCAGATCATTCTACGGCTTAGCTTCAGTTTTACTCCCACTGCTTAAAAGAAGTCACATTCTGAATTTGGTCCCTAATAGAAGATAGTGAAGGGACATCAGGGCGAAATGTGCATTAGTGATTGGCCGAAACGTTTCCTGAAAACCATCCTGCTGCACCTGAGCCGTCATCAGGTTAGTAGATGGCTTTAGACCCCCCACTGCGTTGGTGGGACCACGGGACAGAGGTAATGATGTGTGTGTTAGTGAGCTGATAGAGGAAAGATAGTAGCAGATGTTGCTGTTCTGTTGCAGGTGGAGCTGCTGATTGAAAATGAGGCAGAGAAGGATTACCTTTACGATGTTCTCCGGATGTATCACCAGTGAGTACCATCTGTCATTCTTCAGGGGGTTATAGTCGTTGTGTGTTCTAAATTGCTATTTAATAGCCAATATTTCAGTATAATTAAACGTGCTGAATATTTATTACATCTTGCCATTTAACAAGAGCTACTTCCAATAAAGACTTGCAGTAAATCCTTGAATTTTCACTTATACTTCTAGTTTCTTTTTATAATCACAAAATACTTTTTGAAATATTTTATTTCTCAGTCACATTGTCTTCTATATTCTTTCTAAAGCAACTTGCTTTCTGATATCACCACTTCATTAGGCCAGTCAGCTAAAAGTCTTCTAGGTTTCAATTAATCTTTTTACACCAGGAGAACCTTGAGGCCTCATTGGTTGAGCCTCTGATCCGTTTCCATTATGCTCCGACAGGCTTGGCTGGTTATCGACAAAAGCTCTTTTTTATCTTCATCCTTCAAATGGGGCTGAAATGACACGTATGCATAATTAAACAAGCACGCCCAGTGTAATGTTTTTTTTTTTTTTCCTTTACTCATGCTTTTGTAATTGTTCAGGTTGCCTTTTGAATTGCAGCAGAGAGAAGACAGGATTATCTTGTGAATTGAAATACAATGATTATATATTTATTGTGTTTAGGAAATGGAAAGAAATGTCCAATAAGCGCCACTGTTGTAATCTCTGCTATGTTTCATTTGGATAAAAAAAGAATCTGATTGGTGTGGATAAGCTTATGATTAGTAAATTAGAGAAATTTTTCATAGGTTTTTAAAGCAGGACTTTTTAGGACAATCCCAGATTTTACTGCTTCGTCTTGACTCTATAATTTTATATTTTTTCCTCTGCGAAGGGCGTTATGCTTTTGGTCATATTTGTTAGTTAGTTGATTACTGTAGAGGTTCTAAACCGATTTTAATGATTTTCTTATTAATCAGAGGTGCATCTCATGCCAAGGAACAATCCATGAAGTGTTGGTGATGATCCAGGCCATAATCCAGATTTAGAAACTCTTGAAAGTGTTCTTTAACTTTGTCAGATAAGAATACATGCCAGAACATGCAGTTTACCCCCTAAACCAGAGGGTGGCAGGAGTGACTATTGATAGCTTAAGTTTCAGAGTTAAAACATCTGCAAGTATTATATTGAAGACAAAAATACCAAAAACAAAAGAAAATGGAGGCATCGCTCACTCGAGCTTAATCTGCTGATCAAAGAAAAAAGCAGAACAAATGAAGAAGGTGAGAACAGAACAGATACCAGAGGCTGCAGACTTACCTATGAATGGATTTTAAGGATATTTTTACCAGAGGTGTGCCTCATGACAAGGAATTCATACATTCATAAGGATTTGGTAATGATCCAGATCATGTGAGTTTAGCTATAGGTTTAAGTCATAAAAAGGGTGTAAAAATAGCTCCTTGGCAGAGGTCTGTGCTCTTAGGGTGCTCCAGTTATATTATAAATAGTAATAGTAGTAATTACTAGTAGTAAGTCACATTTACTCAGTTACATTTACTTGAATAACTTTTAGAAAAAAAATACTTTCATGCGCGGCTGGACTTTACTGTACGTTTTACTGTTGCTTAAGAAATATTATTTTATTTTTATTCCTGAGTAAACTCCCTGGTTACTCTACCAACCATGAGTAACTTGAGTTATTCAGACACACAATAAGCAGAGGATTTTGTAGCTGATAGTTATTTATCCTTTTCTTACATATGCGCATTACATACTGTTTGGTTTTTTTCTAACTTTTGTTGAAAATTTTTTATTTAGAAATTTTTTCCTTCTGTTTAAATTTGCTATTTTTAATTATATTTCTAGTTCTAATTTCATTTAATGCTTTGGAAGGCCAGAATTTGTGAATAACCCTCTGTCACAAAATCATGTTACAAGCCAACAATTAGTACTCTAGGAGCCACTTTACCAAGTACTATTCTACTCTTACTTTAGTAATGTCTTTGATGACTGCTTTTCTATTTCTTTCTATTTCTGGGCAGTTTACTTAATGTTCAATCAAACTTCAAGCAGGTTAAAGTCCATATGACACCTCTGTTAGTGGGATGATGGGAAAATAGACATGACTATGTGCTGTGATTTTTGTTCAATGATTAAGCAAGAAACAAGCAGGAAAGATTTTCTACTCATAAGTATTATAGGGTGTCTGTAGGATTAAAGAAACATTTAGCAAACTTTTTCATTTTTTTTATAAATTACACTCTGATTGCTTTACAGATTTGATCAGACTTTTGTAAATTTTTTAATAAACAGATTTCCAGTCTTATGATACAGGAATAAGAGTTTAATATATTAGTTTCTCCCTTTTTATATTTTATTAAATGGATTTTTTTAAAGCTAGACAGATTTTCCCACCCCATCTCCATTTTCTGGATCTTAGGCGTGTGGTAGTCAGACAGAATATAATTCCAGCTCCTCATCGCTTTGTCCAGTAGACCCGGCCTGCAGCCCTTAAGCGGGGCCTGTGTCACCACTAAAATTATCTGTATTTGTTATTGGATAGGATCCGATAAAGAAGAGCAGTAAAGTATTATTGCTGCACATACTGCTCACAGTCCTTGGTTAACTTTGTCTCACGGCAAGGTAGATAAGGTCCATGCGGCAGTTTGGTTTTCATGTCTCAAACTGGAAGTGAGACAAGAATGGTAAAGTAATAATACATCCTGTTTGGGGAAAATAAAAAATAAAATGAGAAACTTAAGAAAAGTTTTGCAGTTTCCAATTGTGGAAATGAAATGGCAATGCTGAGGAGGTTTCCAAATGTTGCAGGCCTTGTGGCGACACAATAAACTACATTATTTACCACTATTAACAGCTGGTGTGATCTGTTTGTGTTTAAATACAGTTTCTTGACTACCTCCCTCACAATGCTCCGCATCTAACCAAACATTTGATCTTAAATTTTATCTGACTACTGTACATTGTGGCAGAAAACTTCAAGAGAGTCTGGCTGCAGACTTGCACTGTGAGGACCAAGACCTGCACTGTCAGGACCCTTCGTTGCAGACCTGCAAAATGGGGTCTCCTGCACTGTCAGGACTGGAAGTTTATTCCGGAAGTTGCATTCGAAGCGCAGCATGTGTTTGCTCCCAGATTAGAGTTTATCACAGTGTTAAACTGAGCATAGCAGTGGTTTAAATTATATAGTACGGTAAGTAAAAATCCTCATAGGACAGCCAACCTCAATTGTCCTATAGAAAATATCTTTTAGACCAAATGCCTTTTCCATCCAGTGATCCAAATACAGAAACTTATTTCTATGTAGCTATATCTGTATTGCTGTATCAATTATTCCAGATAGGAGTTTGGTGGGGAGTAAACTTGTCAGTGTACATACGTTTTCAGCATAACAACACTTGTTTGTGAAAGAAAGCTAGTTTCATGGGGAGTTTATAGACACTAGCTTTGAATTTAGAAAGGCTTCGAATCAACTTTGCTTTTACTTTGAAAATCTTTGAATAAACTTGCAGTTCTAACAGTGCAGGAGACCTCACAGGGCAGCTGTGCAGCCAGGGTGCTGAAAGTACAGCTCTGGGTCCTGACAGTGCAGCTCTGCAGCCAGGGTCTTGACAGTGCAGGTCTGCAGCCAGACCCCTCTGAAAATCTTCAGCATTGAGATACAACTTTATAAACCAAAGCCATGGTGCTGTTCTTTCTTGGAGAAAAGGCTTTATCCTAGCAACCATTTCAAAAGCAATCATACTTTTGTAATCTCATAAATGCCCTGTACTAAACTCTCACATTTTAAATGATGACTGAGACCTTTAAAGTGAGTGATGGAGCTGTAAAGCAGCTTAATAAAATATAATTTCTCTCAGGATTGCACATCTTGAGTGTGAATTATCAGTAACATCTACTCATTGAAAATCTGGAACCAATCTTTTCTTGTAATTAATCTTTCTCACTGTGCAATGGTGACCTTAAATTTAGTTAGAAATGGTCATATAACCTTTCTCAGATGATCTAGCTAGAGAGCTCCTCTAAGATATTTTTTTTTTACCTGTGTGTGAACATGCATACCTGTATTCCCTAAATCAGCAAACAATTAAAAGTAGTGCTTTAATAGAGGTAGACACACTGATAATGACCAATTTATCCAGTGTTTAATTTGCAGTGGCTTGCATAGGAAGTTGTTAATTATCCAAAAAACTTACTAATCTAAACATTGCTATATTTTAAAATTTTATATGTATAAGCAAACTTACTCTATCATAATGAAGGCAAAGTACAACACAGCTTTGACTAGTCTAACCTAATGTCTTTCTTTAAGGTCCATGGATTTGCCAGTGCTGGTTGGAGACCTGAAATTGGTTATCAATGAACCAAAACGACTGCTGCTCTTCGACACTATCCGACCTCTGATCCCGCTCAAACACCAAGTGGAGTATGACCAGCTCACGCCCAAGAGGTCACGGTGAGTACAGCATAGCATTAGCTGTTTTCCTGGATAGGCAATCACAGATGCATTGTAATTGTGTAAGTTGTTACAGACTTGGTTAATCTTTGATGCTTTCAGGAAGCTTAAAGAGGTCCGTTTGGATCGAACACACCGAGACGGACTGGGTCTCAGTGTTAGAGGGGGACTAGAGTTTGGCTGCGGGCTCTATATTTCACAGATTGTCAAAGATGGACAAGCTTATAATGTCGGCCTTCAGGTATGTGAATATAATATAAAAACATGGATTTTATTCTTGTTTCTGGACATTAAAAAAAAGAAGAGATTTTTAAATATTTAGAGTAAACATTTTACACTTATCCAGTATGCAGATGGGAAATTCTTCCCAATTCTTCATATCAAAGGTTAGTGAGGTGAGTTGAAGAGCATATGTGAATATCTGTATTCGATCTTTGCCTCATACTGTTTGCCTCAACCTTTTTATTTTATTTGGCTCACTGGCCATCACAAAAAATCTGTATTTATGCTGAGATTCAGATACACACAAATTGAAAATAAGAGGCCTCCTGTGTTAGATATGAAATTATTTATTTAACTTGTCTTTTGTTTTGTATTTGTTTTTGGCAAAAAAAATGTTATTTGAAGCCCCCACTAGGTGGAGTGAAATTCACTTTTATTAAAGTCTTACAGACCTTTTTTATGCTCAGCTGAGACTCAAAATTCAATAAAATCCATTTTGATTTGAGTTTTAGAACAGATCAGAACTGATTTTTATGTCTGTATGCTCATGGTTAATAAAGCATTGTGTCACTGATGTAACACTATGTTGATATAAGCTTCATAGTGAAGATTTTTTATCCTTGTCTGCCATGCAATATTACAAAGAAACAGACTATGAGTCATACATTTTGCAGCTGTGGTGTTAAATGTAACACTTAATAAATAGTGTGATATTGAATTCCCAAATGGTCCTGCAGTCAGAACGACATTGAGTTGTAGTAGCTCAGATACATTTAATCTATACTTAATCATATTTAGAAATGATGGTGCCCCCAGAAAAGACAATCTTACCAAAGGTATATGACATATCAAGGTGTGTCCAGTAATTAGTATCACAGGTGTCTATAATCTTTTAATTAGTCAGTGCGCCTATATAGTGTATAGGACTACAGGTAGTCACTGTGCTGTTTGGTGACATGGTGAATACCACATTCAGCATGGACCAGATGAAGCGAAAGGAAAAGTTGTCTCAGGAGATTAGAGAGAAAATTATAGACAGGCTATAAGATCATCTCCAAGCAGTTTGAAGTTCCTGTGACTACAGCTGCACATAACATGAGAAATGTAAGATTCATGCAACTGTAGCCAGCCTCTCTGGATGTGGCCACAGGAGGAAAATTGATGACAAATGAAATAGATAGATGATATGACTGGCGACAAAAGAGCCCAGAAAAAAAACACAAAAACATCTGAAGAGATTACAGGAGAACTTCAAGCTCAAGGAACATCACTGTCAGATGATACCAGACATCGTTGTTTAAGAATAAGAATAAGATAATCCTTTATTTGTCCCACAGTGGGATGGGAGGAATCCATTGTTGAAAACATGATAAAAAAGCCAGACTACCAAATCTACCAAACTACATATTTACAAGGCAATATATATGTAAATATAATATAATATAATATATAGTATATATTTTATTTATATATATATATATATATATATATATATATATTATTATATAATGTATTACTTATGTGAGATCCACATTATCTCTGATCATTATTTATTTTTTTCATTAAATGAGGGGTACCAGAAATTCTATCCGTTTGTGTAGGACTTTAAGAGTGGTGCTTTTTTTTAAGGAGATCGACATTTTTTATGGTTTTCCTCTTCACAGACACTATGCTGTAAAACAACAGCAAACTTTTACTGATGAAAAGTGTAACCTCAGGGACAAACCAAGAAATTGTAATAGATTGCACAATTCAATAGCTCATGTTGTGTTGAGCAAAGAGGAATGTAAATGTTTTCATTTGTGGTAAGGCCTTCGTAGTTGTATTGAAATGAAAGTGTCATATTTAATATTTGCTTCTATGCTGATTAATAGGTGGGTGATGAGATTGTGCGAATTAATGGCTACTCCATCTCCTCCTGCATCCATGAGGAGGTCATCAGCCTCATCAAGACCAAGAAGATTGTGTCACTCAAAGTTCGCCGTATGTTGAAATGCCTTTCTTTACATTAATGCAAGAAGGAATACGCCTGTCATTTTTATAATTTGTTTTGCATGTGTCTTTTTTTGTAGATGTGGGAATGATCCCTGTAAAAAGGTAAGATTCATTTGTTCTTTTCTTCATCCTGCATGAGATTAATGTCCACGAACAATTCCCCTGCTTACGTGATTTTGTTCGCTCCAGCTCTTCTGATGAACCCCTCAAGTGGCAGTTTGTGGACCAGTTTGTGTCCGAGTCCGGGGTAACAGACTCGTTATTTTTTATGTCTTTAACCCGCTCATAGAATTTTGTTTTTTATTCAGTTATTTTGTCTGTTTCGGTTCAGGAGAAGAGAAGCAGCTTGGCCGGCTTGATGTCTATTGGTGGAAAGGAGATCAAGGAGAAGAAGGTTTTTCTCAGTCTCGTGGGTACCAAGGGTATGGGCATAAGCATCTCAAGCGGTCCAACCCAGAAACCTGGTATCTACATCAGCAACGTGAAGCCAGGCTCCCTCGCTGCAGAAGTTGGACTTGAGGTAATTTGGCAATTGGCAACACAAGATACTTTGATGTCCTGGATTGAGGAGGATCAATAAGGCAATCACTAATTGTCTCTTATTGTGCAAATTACCAAATGATTGGATTTCTAAAGATGTTAAATTAATTCCAATTAGAACTTTGTTGATACTCCAATTAATGAGTATGAATTATGAATAAATATTGTCATTTATTTTAATAGGGATATCATATGGTCAAAGATGTATCCCCTTTAGTGGATGACCCATAAAATCATTACTTTAAATCTCTTTTTGTAAGTTTACTGCCAATGTCACAAAGTATGATTTTCATACTAAGAGGATGGTCTTTATCGCTGTGTTTCAAAGGATGCATGTGACCATAAAAAAAAAATCTAGTTTTTTTATTTCTTTAGATTTTTGTAATCATACCAACCTTATTTGTAGAACACTTTGTGTTATTCTGCATGTAACTGCAAACTAAGCCTTTAAAGAGGTATATAAAAACATGATAGTGACAAACAGAAAAAAAAAGGGAAAAAAACAGGTTTACTAATTAAAAAGGTCTAATATACATTTGCACAAAATCCTGTTTGGTTTAAAATTTATTTTATTTTCTTATTGGGGTTAGACATTTTAATAAACCTTTGTCGTTTATTACAGTCATTAACTATGAGCTCAAATAATTGAAAAATAGGGTCATTTGATGAAGTAAGTTAAATATTTCTTGCATTGGCTAAAACTTAATATCTTCTTAATACACATTATTAAACAACTAGTCAATATCTAAAATGTTACAAAGTGTTTATTCTCGTGTAAATTGATGTGACTTCTGCTGTAGGTAGGAGACCAGATTGTGGAAGTGAATGGAGTGGATTTCACCACTGTGGACCACAAAGAGGTGAATTTGTTCACATCTGTCTTTTATTTAGTATTCAAAGGAAAGTTGGGATACTGACAAGTACACAATGAATTTACCTCTAGGCATTGACAGATGATGATTTGAATGCTGAAATTTATGTTTCTTTTTAATCCTATTTTTAAGGCTGTGAAAGCCCTGAAGAGCAGCAGAAGTCTGACAATCACAGTTCTGACAGGAGCTGTAAGTATAATTTGTGTTGGCCTATATTTATTTCTTGTGGAGCTTGCCTTACTGTTAAACTCTTACAATAAAAGAATTCAGTCAGATGGAAGAGTAACAAATAGTTTTCCGATTTTAAGTAATAATTTAAAGGTACAGTGTGTAATAATTACACAGATTTACTGACATAAATGTTATTGTTTATATGTATGTTATTTATTATCTTCTATGAACTGAAAGCAAGTTTGCCTTGCCTTAGAAAGCGCTACTTATATTTACAGAGGAGTCAGTTCACATTTGTGGAGGCAGATATCTTTTGCGCTGTGTTGGTGTAGAGATGAGAAACTATTGATAGATTATACAGATCACCATTATGCAGGAATGGTGGGGGGTTGTTGCAATCTAAAGTCTGACCATTAGATGTCTCTGAAAATTACAGATTGTAGCTTTAAAGGGATTCACAAAGCCTCTGGGGTTATCTTCAATTTGATATACATTTCATTAATTAGAAAATAAATCTGTGTTATTGGTTTAATTCAATTCAAAACTGTGATAACAGTAAAACCCAATGCTGTTTAACAGCTAGTGCTGTTGTATTTTTCTTTATTTTTTGAGTGTAAATCCTAGAAATGGGATTAAATCCTGCATTGTTGAAATCCCCCTATATTTCACTTTAACGCTCATCTATTATGGTTCAGAGACCACAAACATTTTTCCTTCTTCTTTACGCATCCCTCTGAATAACTGACATCCTTGTTTTGAATGTATCACATTCTCCTAACATACAGCTCAGAAAAATGTCTGCAGGAGCAACATTTATCCTCGCTAAAGGCACTTGACAGATTGTTTGCTCTGGGAGTCGGTGATGAGGACTGTGGAAGTGAGACGAGCAGTCATGTCTTATTATTCTCTTCCTTGGTGCCTGTCTGATGCATTCATTTGTGAATTTGTCTTGGTTTTTGATGTGGCATCCTCCATCAGTGCTTATCGAAAGTGGGGGCTATGTTCTGAAATCAGATGCATCTGCTTATGTGTCACACTTTGTGCCTGAAAATTTGTACTTTATGTCTAAATACAGTATCCTGCAGCAATAATTATATGAAGTAGGAAGAATAAATGGTTACTAAGAAATGTTCATCCCATTTAGATACTTTCCAAAGATGATACAATAAAAAGGTTCCAGTCTTATGCTAGAAGGTGCTAGAAGGATTCAAATATGAACTCAATTGAACTACAATATGTAGCATTTTTTTCAGTTATTTATATAGCAAAGATGAGGCCTAAAAAAAAAAAAAAAAAAGAATATGTGCAAAGATGCATACCCTGGTTCATTCCATATGATTCAATATTTCATAGAAATTGTTTGACCCTTTCTATGAAATAAGGAAAATCTTAGTTTTCTGTTTTATAGAGGACAGGTGTGTTTAAACACAAATTGAGACAGAGCTACATCACCAGTGCTCCAAAGAGGGCTCAAGGATTTTAGCCAAAAATCAAAATTGCGATTATTTTCATCCAGTTTTGTGATAGCGATTATATTGTGATTTTACTTTACACTAAGCAAAAACAGGTAGATATTTCACTCCAGGGTTTCAGTTTTTTCTTCACCTTGAAAGCTTGCTTGTCCACAGTTTATTGTTGCAGGACTTTATTGCAACCTTTGCATGAAAAAGTTCCAACTTGTATTATCATGCATGTATCTGCATGCTTGCTGCTAGCTTTCTTTCCATCTGTATAGCAGCAAACCCACTTTGTGTATTACCACTACCTACAAGACTGGAGGGAGAAATTTAGTGTCTTACTCTCAGTAAATGTAATGTGACCAAAATTGAGTATCTACGTGGTTTGTCAGTTGCATAATGCTGAATTGCAATAATTTGCAAATGCAATTAATTGTCCAGCCCTAGTCCCAAATGCAATGTGTTTAAACCATTGGCAATTAGCCAAGCTTTTTTGATAAATAATTATATAAACAATCAGCCGCACTTTATAACAGACGACTGTGACGTCAGTGCTGTGGCGAGAGGTGGTGTGCAAGTAAATTGACATTCAGCTCTGGGGGCAGGAGAGCTACGCCCCACGATGGTTCTATCTTTTGCATTGAAGAGGAGCTACTGCACATGCACAACTTTTAGTGAGAGTCTATGAGCAAACATTTTTACGCCCAGGCACAGAAATATGTCACCAATCCGACAACGAACAAATAGTTTTACTCATCATTAAAGTTTAAATATTTATCTTGCACATCTAAAAAATATGTTAATATATTTCTAAATATTCTAATTTTATAATTTCATTTTTATTTGTATTTTTATGCCTTCATCAAGGTCATTGGGTGGGTGAGGCGGCGCCCTAGTGCCCTCTATTGGCCAGCCGCCACTGATTTAAACCTTTATCAGTGAATTGTCATAAAGATTTAAGTCCATCATTCGACAGTGAAGAATTATTCATATGTGGGACATACTACACGTGTTGTTTTAAAAAGGTAAAAAAATAAAATAAAACTGAGAATTTTTTAGGGGAAAAGACCTCTTTAAGTTTCAGCTGCTAAATGGAGTTTTGCAGTTTTCATTTTGGCTTCATATTTTTCTAATAAATAATGGAGTTTATGAATTTAGATTAGATTAGATTAGATGAGCTTTATTGATCTCACAGCGGAGAAATTCACTGGTCACATATTGGCATAGTACTTAAAGAAAGTGCAAAAAAGGAGGAAAAGGTACATTAGGAATAAAAATAAAATAAAAATAAATAAAATAAGAAATAAAAAAAAAATACAAGGAAGTAACACAGAGATTTGAGGTGACATATGTACAATCAGGATGGCTTATACATTTTTGTGTGTTTTTTGTTCTTGATTCTAGTTATAAATACTTTTAAAGTTTGGTAAAGATGAGATGATTTGATCATGTCTGATAATGCAAGACCACCAGACATATTTATTCACTGACCTTAGGGACAAAAGACTTAAAACAAAGCATTGAAGAATTAATTGTTGAGCTCTCTTTTAGTTTAAAAAGTTCCAAAACAAACAAATACGACATAATCAGGATGGTTTTTCAAAATGATTAATCATAAAGCCCAAAAGTATATAGAGGTATCATAATAACTCAAAAGTTTAAACATAGAACGACAGAAGCTCCTTAGGACCTTGCAGGATCGTTGAAGTTCCTACAAATTTTAAACTGTAAATGATGAAAAGATTAAATTCATGCAGCACTCTCATTTTTGAATTACAGACTCGTCTAGCTGACTGAAGCCTGGTTTGAATACAAAGGCTGTATATAAACTCTATTCTTAGATTTTTGTCTAAGGCTGGTTTTCCTTCTCTTAGGGAAGGGAGCTGTTTATGACAGACGAGGAGCGCCTTGCAGCCAAGACCCGCCGGGAGTTGGATAGGCAGGAGCTGATGCATCAGAAGAAGGTTGCATTGGAGACCAACAAAATCATTAAAGAACAGCAGGAGAAGGAGAGACAGTGAGTGCACAAACTTTAATTAGCCTCACATTGATAATGAGATATGCTCTGTGGTGTCAAAGCCAGGACACACAGTTTACCCATATAAATGTAGTCCTTTAACCTGTGTGTCCAACTTTTCTGATCTTCTCTTAAAACTTTTAAACGTTCACTGTAGGACTTAGGACATTTAAATTCTGTAGTACCTACATCTGCATTCTGCTTCAAAATAGGCTTTCCCCCCACTTTTCTCTGTCTTACAAGTGTAAAACAATTATTTTGCAAATCGAGTAATTTGTTGATAATTTTTTTTATTAATGAATTAGTAAACAGATAGCCAAAGGTTCCTTAACTACAATTATTTTACGAAATTAAACCAGGTGAAATTCCACGTGTGAAGTTCTGGATAGAGCATATTGACAGACACAATATATATATATTTTTTTATCTTAAATGCAAAATGTAATTGTTTTTATATTTTTTTTCCTATCTTGGTATAATCACTGCTCTAATTTGGTTGCTCTGTCAGCTAAAGGCATGTTTTACAGTCTCTATATTCCAGTTAACGATTAATCTATTACTAAATTATATAAATCATCAATTAATCTGATGAATTGTTTCAGCCCTAGTAAAATGAGTAATTGCTTCTGCAGCATGCTTTTAACAATGGTTTCTTTGCATCAAAAATATAGAACCTCAGGTTTTTTAAGTTACTAAGTTAGTTGATTTAGTGGTTTTCTGTCAAAAGCACCAATTGGCTATTTCTCTCCTTAAAGCTGCAGTAAAATCAGCATCATATGTCTTGTATTTATTCTCATGATTTCTAAATGAAGAATAATGTTCAAGCTTCTGATTCTTTTCTTAGGAGAAAGCTGGAGATCTCCCATAAAGTAGATGAGGAAGAGGAGCGCTATAGGAATGAGATGGAAAAGTATATAATTATCCCTTTTTGTTGGTCTTTTGTTCTGTTTTCAGTCTTGGAAGTTAATAAATAATTGTTTTTTTAGTATTGAAGCTGCAGAAAGGAAACATGATAGAGAATGGGAGGAGGACTGGGGATCCAGAGACAGATCAAAGAGTCCCCGCTCCCCAAAAAGCCCTGAGATGAAAACCAGCCCAAATGCAAAGACCAAGAGTTCACGTATGACCACAAATTCTTTTCCTGAAATGAAAGAGATTTTTGTGTACTTTCAAACTCTCCAATTCTTGTGAAACTGAAATGACTTGTTTCTGTTTCACTCTAAATGCTCTGTATTTGCATGTTTGTGTTGGTCTCTGCTGGTTGCTGTGCTGTGTTCTACGGCATCTCTTCCTAGTTTATGGAGCCAGCTCCTTCGCAGACGAATATGAGGATGATGAGCAGGACAGCGAAGTGAGTTGGCAGTTTCAGCTTTCTTGTAGGATAGCTATGCTAGTTGATGCAAAAGAGATGTCCTAGATTTCCTTTGACAACATCAATGTAGGGAGCAGAGTTGAATATTGTTTTAGGTTGAAGATGCTGCTGAAAGTAAAAGAACAGATAATCAGAGATGCACAGATCTGAGCTATGATGTCTGATTTCCGATTAAAGATTTTGAGACACTTTGACCTGCCAACACCAATTTTAGCTGATTCATATTTATACAAACCACAAATAAAAATTATTTTCTATTAGTTTCTGGATAAATCTAAAATAGAAATAAAATGATTAATCTTAGCTTATTTTACAATATCGTTATAGCTCAAGTAAATACGTTTATTATTAATTATATTATATTATACTATTTTATTATTATACTTTAAAAGTATAATGTATTTACTTGAGCATGAGTATACTTTATTTTATAAAGATAATTTATATTCTTTCACGAAGTATATTTGATACAGATATTAAACCTTGGTTAACAGTAAGTTAGAGCAAAAAGTTTTTTTTTTTTATACTTAAAAGGAAATGAATACATTCATCAAATGTGAATATGTTTGGTTGGTTCAACCTAACAGAATCAAATTCTGTTGATCTATATTTTTACCTGCATGGAATTAAGTTATGTTCAACTAACTCATAACATTTAAATATCCCAAAGACAAATGAATTGGTTTTATGAAGTCTTGTATTTTTGTTAACAGACATGCATACAAGTCACATGATCAAAAAAAACTCTACAAAGACAGAGCTGTCTGATCATGGACCTTTGTCTCAACTTATGATTTCATCTGTGTGGACTTGGGCAACAACTACCTCCACTGTCACTTTTAGATGTAGAATTGTCTGCTATGCTTGCTAGTTCTCTGGGAACATTGGTCAAATGCAATTAAAGGAAGTAATCTTAGCAAGGACCAGTTTTAATAAGCACACTGCAAAAAACTGAAATCTATACAAGTCATTTTTTCTTAAAATAAGTGCATTTGTTCTTGAATTGAGGAGGTAAGTGAGACAATTTGCCAATAGAAAAACAAACTTGCATTGTCTTATTTCAAGTGCATATTATCTAATTATCCAATTTTAAGAGTAAAAATACTCATTCCATTCACAAATCATTTTATTTACCTACTCAAATGATTTATTTATTACGTTTTTGCAGTGCATTGCTAAGTAAACTAAAATTCTTCAGGCCGCCTTACAAGGATGGTCTTTCAAATGAACTCAAGGTTCCTTTGCATCATACATAAAATACATATTGTGTTACATCAAGTAAATATGACTAAATAATTCTGGAACCAATTACTTTAGGTATGTTGAATGGTAAAATGTGTGTCGCCCCAAAGAGGTGTGAGTGTGAGGAATGTTATAAACAGAACATTTTGGTGTTCATGTGTTTTACCTTCACTGGTTGAAAAGAGTAGTATCTGCTGAATTCAATCCATAAACTTATTTCCATGCTTTTCTGCAAACTAATTATTCCATCTCTTATCTTTAATGCTGCATTAGCATTATTTAAAACCCTGTTTGTGTCTTTTATTAAAAATGTCTAGCTGCTTCCCAACTAGATTTGGTCTCTCTGAGTGCTGTGTTGTGTGAAGGTTAGCACAAAATTAGCCATGATTGAATTGATGTAGTTTGCTTGGTTGTGAAGTTAAGTTGTGGTTTGATTTTTTTTTTTTTTTCAAGTTACTTGTGTTCATCTCCAACTTTAGCATTTGGCTGGTTTTATCGATATGAGGGGAAGCTGCCTTCACTGCGCAAGGTACTGTCAGCTCTTTGTGTTGTGTGAAGTGGATCTAAGAAGTTTACCTATAGATTGAATGCTGGAAACTTTAGGATTGCTTTCTTAATTTTTATTTTGTTAGTGACTATTATTGGTATCCTAGTTTGCGTGTTCTTTGCATTTTGCTCTTCCCAACTGGTGATCCCTCAGAAAGGAGAAAAGAAGAAGAAGAAAAAGAAAATGTCCAATACAGACACACTGCAGGAGCAGAGGAAGAACAAGAAGGAGATGGAGTTTGAGCTGAAACTTGCTAAAGAGAAAGAAGAGATGCATGAACGAGAGAAGCAACTAAAGATCAATCGGCTGGTACAGGAGGTACGAGGAGATGTATTCTGCCCGGTGCCGTACATTTGATTCGAGTTTCAGTTCTATATAAATGACCGATTAATAATATATATGATGTTATTTGATACATTTTGTTTATTTCCCTTTGGGATCAATAATGCCTTTTGTAAACTGAATTGAATTAAAGTGGCTGGGATTACAGCCAACTGTCGATCTGAAGCTATTGTTCTGATCTGAAATAATAGTGAAGTGCTTAATTCAAACAGAGATCAGCATCTGCTTTAGGTAGAAAAGTTAAAGTATCTTAGTGTCTTAGTTATAAGTGATACGTTAGTCATAAGATGAGTGTTAGTTTGATTAGTTCTAAGCTGTGGAAGCTTTTCTGGTTTGTCAAGTGGAGCAAAGAGCAGAGCTCGAATGTAAAGACCTTAATATTATTCTTCCCTACTTACCTACTACTCCTTACAGTGTGTTGGATCCCAAAGCTACAATGAGATCTTAAAGGCTGTTCTTTTACGTACATTGAAGGACATTGTTTGGTGCAATTCAGCCATTTGAAACAAATACAAGCAAACAATTGAACTACTTCTCTGTTCCAAACAGTAATTTTCAAGTGTTTTAAAGTCAAACCAAATATGTAGTTTATTTAAATTTCTCTTAGGGCTTGCAGTTTTACTTTGCAGCATGTGATGCTCATATCATACACGCCTATTTGTGTGAAGAGTTTTCTGTTGTTTATGATGGGGACTGGTTGTAACTCAACCCCAGGTTTCAGAGACAGAAAGGGAAGACCTGGAGGAGTCTGAGAAAGTGCAGCACTGGGTGGAGCGCCTGTGTCAGACTCGGTTGGAGCAGATCTCTTGTGTGGAGAATGAATCCCCAGAGGTACCAAGTCTTCAGTGAGACCTTCCCCAATGTTCTGATCAGTTGTATTTTGTTGCCTACATACATGTTTTTTATGTGTTTGCGGCTTAAAGCTTTCCCAGCCACACTCTCCTGCCTCTGAGCCGAGGGTGAAGCATTTCCCCGGTGGTTTAAACCTGGCAACCACTGATTTGGACGACATAAATCTGGATGACGTGGATCAGAGCCTGAGGGGACCTCTTAAAAAACTAGTCCCGACTCAGCCCACCAAACACCAACCACCACCCCCCTTGCCTCGCCCCCCACCTTCACCCAAACTAAACCCTACGATTCCCAACTACTCCCCTCCTATACCCCAAGTATCTCCCCAGCCCCGAGCTCCTTCTTCCCCGGGTGCCAGGAAGCCTCCTCTGTCTCCATCCACTTTGACCAACAGGGGGCGCAGGCTTCAGGCACAACCACGTCGCCCGCCTTCCTCTAACTACCCTCCACCATCACAGACATCAAGGCCCCCATCATCCCCTCAACCAACACCACACCCACATCCCCCACCTCCACCTCCCCCGCCACCACCTCCTCCTCCCCCTCCGCCCCCTCCCCCACAGCACTCTGAAGAACGTGGTTACCGTCAGCATCAGCACCACCTCCAGCATCCTCCCAGTCCTCCTGAACACAGGAGCGAGTGGGAAACAGGTGGCTACCTCCCCAGAGGGGGGATTTATTCATCCAACACTAGTGAAATTTCCCACCCTTCAAGTCCAAAGGTTTGATTGCTTTGTTTCTCATGAGGAAAGTAGGGCGAGTGGGGTTTACTTTTTTCATTTTTTATAAATAATGGGTGTTTTTTGTGGTTTCCATTTGTGGATTTTAGTAAAATGATGTCGACCTCTTCATAGCATATGTCTGTGTGAATGTTGTATTTTGGTGTATCAGGGTGAACTGCAGTGGTGGTTGTGCATTTTTATCAAAACTAGAGAGCATGATGCTCACTATTTTCTATAAAGTAGTGAGTAGTGAGCGGGATGCTGCATGGTGTGCAGTTTGCAGTGAAAATCTGAAAAGAGGCCTTTAAAAAAAAGGCCTGTGTGCAAATATTTGTAGTGCATTTCAGCATTTGTTATGTTTGCCATTAGAGAGAGTGGCTATCAAATGGTACATACATAGACCTATAAAAAGGTTTTTAATTTTTCTGAGCTTGAAAATCAAACAGATCTGTTAGGGGGGACAAAATGAAGGCGTAAAAAGCTTGGCGTATAAATGTCACACCCTTTAACTAATACTTTGGTAAAAGTCCACTTTTTGAATTCATTTATAGCTTTCAGTCTTTGGTAGGAGTCTATCAAAATGTCCCATTTTAATTTTCGTAAAATTTGGTTACCTGGCCTTGGAAAATTTCTCCTAATGCAGGTTTATGGGATTGTTCATAACTTTATCCATCTTAAGAAAAATAATCAAACCCCAAGCAAAATATACTCCCCATCATCATGCTGCCACTACCATAGGTCAGCTATGTATGGTTTTCTTTTGGTAACACAAGGTTATTGTGTTAACAATATTTTCTATTTATTTTCATAATGTTCAAATTGGCATTCCTTGCACCATATCATATTTTTCTTAGTGAAGGGTTTTCTTTCTTCGTGTCCAGATACATTAAGAACATAGGAAATCCTTCTGACAACCAGTACTTGTTGAAAATTCCTTAAACATTTTCAGTGCTGCTGTTGACCCCTTGGCAGCATCTGTGATCAGTGTCTTTTTTGTCTTATATATATTTATTGGAAATTGTGTTTAATTACCACTATTGTTCCACATTTCTCCATGTACTGGCTCATTTACTTCCCTCTAAAAAATGCTTATATGAAATACAATAGATTTTTCTTTTGTGCCCTTCTCCTGACTGATACCTTCGTACAATCATTTGATCGCTGGCAATCTCTCTTTAATGTACTGCTTTAACCTAAATGATGCATACATGTAAAGGTCCGGAAAATTATTAGCAGGATAGTTTTAACTTATTTTTACTGTTCAGATTCGGTATAAACGATTTTAAGTGTTGCAAAGATTTAAAAGACCAAATCAGATTCAACCTAAACAGGTTTTAAAGTATTATTTTAAGGGTGTCCAAACTATTGTGTCAAGGTTTTCACTTTTAATTAATAAATTTTTTTTTATGGTTTTACCCCTAACCAACCTGTGCAGTTTCCCCTAAATAGTGAAGAACCTGTCACTTTAGAGATGGGAAAAAGCTATTTCAATAAAAGTGTGTACCCTTTTGATATCTGCTTTACTATTGGAATTAGTCTCAGCTTTAATGTGTTCAAATCTGAATGAATGTTTTGGACATATAAAGGTTCACTGTATTCTAGGTGATGAGAAACACCTCCCATGTTAGTCACATTTCCACTTCAAGCAGTCAGCTGGTAAGCCTCCCTTCTTTTGAAAAATCATGCCAACGTTTGCTGTGTTTGGAAATGAGCTGAGCTTTGTAAATGTGTTGTTTGGATATGTGGTCCAATAGCAGCTGGCTCCCAGTCCCCCTAACCAAAGACGTCAGATGGCTCCAGTCATGTCCAAACCTGTAATGCTGCCACAGTCACAGACTAACCGGCCTGATCCGCACCGACCTGCTGTCCGCTCCGATGGCCTGGTATGAAAATTATTAGGGTCATCTGGTACAGTGTGCGATCAGCTGCAGCTGCTGTCAGTTTCCGCCTCCTTTTTGAGTTTTGGAGGTTTTCCAGCTTATTCCGTGATCATCAAGAAGATGGATGCAGGGATGGTCTTCCACACTCCAGATTTCCAGACAAGCGGCTATTTTAATAAAAACAGGCCACCAATGCTTGCGTTTTTCTAAGAATCCTTAATTAAATCAAATTGTGTTCAGTATTTTGGACAGCCTGCTAAAGAGAACCATTCCTTACTTTTTATTCCCTTACCTTAAAGATTCCATTTAACACCAGAGCCATTAGCATCACCACAGGCTTCTACCTCTGCTGTGAGAGATATGATGGCACATAAACAGATGTCTGTTGATTGTAGCTGCTGTCACGGTTGTGCAAATGTGTCTGTAGCATTTTCCACCCTTGTAGCTTCAGAATTATAAAATTCTGTTTCTCCATTGCACAGAGAGGCTCACTGTAAAGATTGTGGGAGGCCTCCATCTTTAATGGATCTGATCAAAGATCATAGAGCTTATAATTGTTGATCATTCAAATCCTTTATAGCAAACATCTTTCTAAGTAGAAATTTATCAGCAATTATTGTCAAATATTTGGAATTTCTGTGTTTTAAAAGCAATAAAATTGTAGTTTATCGATAAACTGTGACCTAATGTTGATAGTTCACCACAGCAGTAAACTTTTTATATTACTATAGAATTCATAGTTTTGTGGAATATACAGTGATCTACACATTTATTGGCTCTGCTGATAAAGATTTAGAATATATTTCTTGGCTGTAGCAAAATCTTAAACTAAAGAAATGTATAAAAATTCAGATTTTTTGTCTCCTATTAATTTGGAAGTGAATCCACTGAATCCTTACACATTGAGTTGATCTAAAAAGTTCTAATCTAAATTTGAGTGACTAAGTTTGAGGGGAGAAGAGAACACGACCAAGAAAAGATAAAGTGTGTTTAGCTTCATGATCCAGAAGGAGACGGCTTCTTGTCCTGTTGGACAAGGGTGCAGTACCACCAGAGGAAAAAAAATAGATGGAGCACATTATCAGATCTGTGCAGGAGACAGTTATTCCTCCAACTCTGCATAACAATCATTAGCACAATCTGAATTCCATAATTTATTTTTTAACTAAAAAAAATATATATACTTTTTCCAAAAATATTAAATGTAAATATTTGTTTTTTTTAATGCTGCTTAACTGAGATTGTATGGTTAGAGAAAGACCAAGCCCTTTGCCAGCAATGATTCAAATGATAGTAGCCTTGCATTAACAAAAGGATTAATCTATGAAATTGCCTAACTCACTCAGCATTAAACATTGGGAGAAACCACAATGCTGCTGGCCTGTTTGTCCACCAAAGATGCTGGTTACCTCGTTGTTATATGCTTAGTTTGCTGCAGAGGTTGAACATTCAATCTGAAAAGGACATTATATATTCACACTGGGATTCTCTTCTTTTGAATTAGTTAAAGAAGTAGGTTTAGCTGTTTGTTTTCACACTAGTTCTCCATCAATAACTTTTTATTTCCCTTTGTTTTATACATCCAATTACTAAAAGAATATGTTAAAAATGTGTTATACTGATAAAAGTATAACATACTGTTTATTCAAGCCAGAAACAGAAGTACCAATAAATAGCTCGTACTTACAGCTTTCACCAGGTTTCACACCCACAGCAGCCGTTTTTGCATCTGAACTGGGGTAACTTTATATTTTTGCATACAAGGTTCCCCTGTTCTACCTTCTACTGAAAACACTAAAAATTTGAATTTAAGTGCAAAGAAAAGATAAAATTAGGGAGCATTCATCATGACGTCTTTAATGGAGTATGTCCTTATGAATTTAGTATTTCTTTACCAGTGATGCCAATAACTTTACATCTCAATGAAAATAAAAATTCATTGTATTTTCGGTAAAAAATATTTATAACTACAGTAGCTCAACTGTCTTGTTGAGGTTATCTAAGGAGGTATATTATCAAGAAACATCAACCTGTAAGGTCATTTTTTTTAGATTTTAGGATCCTAAATGTGACTATTTAACCTATCATATAAAGTTACATCAGGCTGAATCTAAGGGATAAATGTACATATTGATTTATCGCAAAACAATAAAGATTACTGTATACAAACATCATCTCAGGGCTGCAGCAGTTTAGTTACACATGTGTTGATAAAAATGTTTTGGACAATTTTCTTGCTCTTGATTGGGAAAAGAAAGTGCTTGTTCCTGTGCTTATATTTGACGTGCTGTAATCAAAGATCAGACCTTAAGAGCGAGACATTTTTATTGGAGACCTAAAGTTCAGAGAGCTTGGAAACTATTTAAAGCATCAAGCAGGATAATGAGTTTTCTGGTCTTATTTCTGCAGTCTCACTAAAGACTCTGAACCCATCCTGTATTTCAGCCTCCAGAAATGCTGAAACGGATGGTGCCTTTCAACTCATCCTTCAAATCAAACAACAAACAAGTAATGCACTCACCTGGTTGCCTTTGGTTTTGCCCTGGAGTGCTGTGCTACTTTTTCTTGTTTTACATTATAGCCTCCATGCTCTGGTGTCAGGTTCACTGCTGCCTGACGTAATCCTCAGTGATGGCTTTCCCATATTTTTTTCTTCCTGTCCTCTCTCTGCATCATTTGCACTCCTGCCTTTTTGATGGGGTGGTTCATGCATGGCCGTGCTTTTATTGATTGGAAGCAGACAGTAGATGTGATGAACATACAGTCTAATATGGGAAAACATGTTATTCTGTTGTGATGTCAGTGTGGAGATTAATTTCGTTTTATTGAGTAAAGAGGGGTTTTACAGCCTGACCTCACCGCTAAAAATGCAAATTGAAAGCATCAATTTGATCTCGGCTCCTAGTCATCACCTGTCAGGGCTCTTTGCATTATGATGGGACAGAATGGCTTTTGGTCCATGAGATTTAGATTTATATATTTTTTCCATGCTGCATAAGGTAATAGTTATTGATGTCAAGAAGTACTGGTCAGGTTTGAAAAGAGAAGTAAAAACATGTCATATATGGGTTTATTTTTATATTATAGAGCAATTGTTCAGGAAGTGGACAATAGCTTGACTAATGTTTCTTTATTCTGTATAGGAAACTGGGCTGAATAAATGTGATTTACTCACCCAGAGGCCTTGGTTCTGTTTCCTTCTTCCTATTGTATTATTTAATTGCTGTGGACTTAAGGAGGATAACTCTGTTGTTTAGTCTGTGATTATGTTGGAAATCATTCTTGTTGCTTAAATGTGCCCAATGCATTTTAACTTGTGAGAATTAGTGTTAAAGGCTATGTTGTATATTTAACTCTAAACTGGTTGTCAAAGGAAATCTGACCTCTTATAACAACAACGACTCAAACTCACTCTAAGTTCCCTTCATTTGCTACTTTTTTAAATATTGGGAACGTTTAATTAATGATTACATGTTTTTTTTCCCCAGGGATTTCAGAAATATGTGGATGACTTCGATCCTTACTCCATGGTATTGTATACTTGGGCTTCAGAAAAAAAGATTATTCTTATTTGTTTGTCAGAAATCATACATAAGAATGTTTTCTCATCCATCAAGTAATATATAGTGGCATATTTAAGCCATGTGTGCTTTCTGTCAGTATTCCCAGTGGTAGACTTAAACCGTAAAGACTAAGCGGCCACTGAATACAGACTTAATGCTAATTTTCCCCTAACTTAATAAAAGCTACATAAGTTGGTCACAATTTTAGTATTTATATGTTACTGTCTAACTATCTCATAATGCAGCATCTATTTTCAAAGGCAGATATAATATATAATGATTCAAATCTGACTAGAAATGACTGATATTCCTTGATGAATATTATTAGTTCTGCACAGTCTGACCTTATAAACCAATAAAATTGAAATCATTTTTACTGCCTTATTTGAGAAAAAGTAAAAAAAAAAATTATAATTCTTAATCAGTATTATATGATTTTTTTTTTTTTTTTACAGTAACCTGTTCAAATAAAATGGCTCATCATGCACTAGGTTAGACTTTGCAGAAAAAGAGGCAACATCAACTCACTTCAGATCATTTCAAGTCGCTTTAAAGGAACTAAATAGGGTTGTTTTGTGAAATTATGACCAGCATATATCCAATCTTGTTTAGATAACTAGTATCATTTCTAGACTGACACATTTTTTCCACCAATGGTGTATTTAGGACAGAACAAAGAACAAAGCAAATAGCAAAACAGCGTACAGTAGCTTTTCATGATAGTGCTACTTTATAATTCTTTTTAGGTTTGCATCACATTATTCAGAACAAATTAACTATATGATAAAGCTGGTATTCAATTGTTTACCTGCTTTTTTTTTAATGAATGACTATGATTTTATTAGATCTGAGTTGTTTGGTTAAAATGAACTCTGGGATTGCCTTTTCTCCACTTTAATAAAATCATAGGTAAGTAATTCAGATAGACTATTGACTGTTAATGATCTGTCAACAGAACCCCACACAATCTGAACTGTAATAAAGAGATATACTATATATGTAGTTAATTCAGAGCGGCAGTGCTCATTTAAAAGTGACCAGTATCTATAGTATCTGTTCTCTTCTTTCTATATTTTGTAAATGACTTTTCCTCCTTTTGTATCCATTTATAGTTCTCCTCAGACCAGATAAATGACAGAGATGTGAGACTGTTGAGAATCAAAAAGGTAATTTTTAATAGCTAAAAGAAATCTGCCTAACATATTTTCTGAAACATGATTGATCATTTCTTCATATTTTTTTTCAGGTCGGGCAACTTGACTTGGCTCTGGAGGGAGGAGCAGACTCTCCTCTTGGAAAATTGGTGATATCATCTGTTTATGACGGCGGTGCAGCTGATAAGCACGGTCAGTTTAATTCTTTTTTTCATGTTTTACATTTTCTTCTTATGTTGTGCATAAAAATATTTTTTGGAGTGGTTAAAAATCACTGTTTTAAGCAAATATTTGCACTTATTTACTGAAACCATACTTACTAAATCATACTTATACTGTCTATATGTTCCTTTTTAAAACTTAATTCAGAAACATTTTAATTGCTATTTATTCTTGTGCTTCATATTACCCAACTGTAAATTACAAACTTCACAACTTGGTAGTATATCATCTTAGTATATTATACTGCTGAATTCATGTTGGCGTTTCGAATTTACGCTGGAAAAAATCACAAAGTTTTAGATCTTATTTATTCTTTGTAACAATTGGTTCCTATAGTGACCAAAACAAGCATTTCTGATAAATCTATGGTAATGTGTAATATTATAGCCTCAGTGCTAATTAGTTTTGCATCTCTGCTGTTTCTTGATATGTTTGTTTACAGGAGGGATTGTTCCAGGAGATGAACTTATGGCTGTGAATGGGAAGATCCTGATCGATGCTACTTTGGATGAGGGACAAAACTCTCTGGCTCGGGCTTGGAATAGTGGAGGGGTATGAGTGGAAGGAGAAAACTAGCTCTGGATTTTAATGATATGCACATTACAGGGTGTACATTTTAATTGATCGTGTTTTGTGCATTCAGCTGGAGTTCAAACTTTCTATTGATTTAGTCACGCAGAGATTTAAAATCATTTCATCCCCCCAGGACTGGATCGATGTTGTGATTGCTGTGTCCCCGCCAAAGGATTATGAAGATGAAGTGTAAGCTTTCTTCTCTCATACATTCAAAATTTTTTGCCACGTTTTATGTTGAAGCACTTTGGATGTTGTGAAATATTGAGAGGGGGTTCGGTAGTTGACAGACGGTGGCTCGTGTTTCTGTGTGTGCATGTGTATGCAGCCCTAATTCAGCATCAGTCAGTCCCACTGTGAAGAGAAAGGTGTTTGAAGGCAGTGCAACACTTTACAGACATGGTTATCAGCTTCAGCACTAGCCTCACCTCATCTCTCCTCCTACCTCACCTTGTTCTGGTAATCAACTTAGCCTTCAGCCCTCATCTTCTTCGCTGCACGTTAGAGGGGAGGTTTGATGTTGCGGTTGGTTTTGTTTGGGGCTCATTTGTTTTTGCTATTGAGGACATGTGACAGTCTCTCTGACAATTTAAATAAATAACACCCTGCACCCTGTCAGGTCTTCTTTTTTCAGCTCGGTTTGTTCCGTGTAAAAAAGAAAAAAAAAAATCAAAAAGAGTATTTAAGTGACACCCCTGCCTTCTAAAGACATTAAAATGATAAATGACCAATCCATGCATGCATGTATGAGCTCAATGCAGCCTCAGTCAGCCATAAATAAACACACGGCATTAGCGCCGTGTTCTCAGGTCAACCCCAGGCTCGTGCCCGCCTTCAGCAGTTGTTCTGATTGATGTTGTTTCATGGGACTGTTACATGTTCTGAAATGTATACCCTCCTTTAGGTCAGATTTCTTTTATGAGGACTTACTGCTTTGGTTGAAGATTGCATCTATTCATCATATTTATTTGCCACTTTTAGTGATTTATTTGAACATCTGTTTTACGAGACAGAAATTTGGACATTATGTAGAAGTTAATTTATTTGTAAAAACAAGCAGGTTTGAATATATTGAGCTTTTTTTAAGTTTACACCAGATCACTATCATACATGTTGGAATAAACTACAGCTGTCACTTGAATAATTTTCTATGACCTCAAACCATCAATAAACTTCTGCTGGGATTGAAAAAACAAACAACTAAATTTAATTTTGAAATGGTTGGATTATTTCCTCAGCTCTTAGGAATTATATATTATAAAAAACAGTGTCAGATTTGGGACATTTTCAGATACTTAATGTTAGGATTTTTTTTATTCTTTTCCAAATCCGACTTGATGGACGTTTTGGATCCAAATTCTTTTCAATATTTGAAGCTGATGTTTTTAGGCCTAATATGTCATATATTTGGTGCAATGTACCAGTGCCACAGCTAGTGTAACAATCCCTCAGCATGACGGGACCACTACCATGCTAGACATCAATACATTTTCAAATACCTGTTTTTGTGGAAATTAATTGGTGTCCTATCCTGTGTAATAATTCCAATGTGGCTCAAATAAATAACTGAAAACCCTAAATGACTAAGGCACCCAGGATGTTGACATATAGATGTCAGACAACACCTGCATGCAGTGTTATGAGAGATGCACCAATTGCAGTTTCCTGAGCATATTCTAGTTTTGAACTAAGAACTCCTGTTTTTCTCATTCACACTCTTTCCAGGAATTCTATTAAGCACCATTAAAAACTTAAATATGTTTAGATTTAGAAAAATACATATATTTTGAAGAGACTTTAGCTATAGAAGCTTAATTTTCATGATTTATCTGTCAGATGAGATATTCCTTATCCTTTATAAACTGAAATAAAAAAAATTCACCTGTTAAGAATTTTTTTTTGTCAGGTTGTAAATCTTTCGAATATATTGCAGCAGGAACTTGTATAAATGTATTCAGGAAAACTTTGTCAATCCACTGTAAAGTTATCAAGGCCTTACTATATTACCGTCTGTTTGCTGCCTAAGTAACAGCTGGTATCTCAATGAGTGCTTTCAGTTTTCAGTGAACTCTAAAGTTAACTGTAAAAATGAGCTAATGTGAAGTTTTAAATTTACCATCCTATTTTACTCTTTTGGGCTTCTTGTGACTTGATTTTTGAAGTCTTTACAGAGATTACAGGTATAATTGACTCTTTATACAGTTAAATCTTCCACATGTGGAATGGGCTCTACAGAGCCACTTAGATGTGAGTGATTCAGGGTTTCTGGGGATGAAATGATTATTTTGAGGGTCATAGCAGTTAAGCTGAAAACTGCACTTCAGATTTCCAACTGAACAATTGGTGCATCTCTGGATGTGTTTTCACATTAAGCTACTTTGAAACGAGTGACTACCATGAGTCTAACTGTCTTCTATAACTCACTCACTTTTGTGTGTAGCTGTTTGTTGTGTTGTTGTGGAGTGGCTTGGATGGGAAATATAACAGAAAAATGTATATTCTGCTTACCTTTGGTATCATTTAGATAACAAGAGAACTTCATTTTTTTTTATTGTTTCAATGTTTTTATTAGTTTTATTCATTTCTGCCGCAGGACGTTCTTCTGATGTCGTCATCCACCTGCCATGAAAACCCGATGTAATAAAAGGAAGCTTCTCCTCCATCCACATCTGAATGGGAAGATTGAGAGCCTATTTGTGCTTTTGCTGCTTTGTCGCCCTTCAAGGCTGATCCAGTTGTCTTTTAGACTGACGTTGTACTTCCAATAGTAATTTTCTCTGTCTTGTTTTGTCAATGGATTGTCCAATCAGTAATCGTTTTTTTTCCTGCTTAGCTCTTTCCTTCTGCAAAGACTGGAAATAATTGACCTCATTTACAAAATGATGAGCATGCTGATGTTCTGCTAACATCTGTCAGTATACGAATGAAGGATGAGTTCGATTAATTAAACTGTAATCAATACCGGATTCAGAATTTCCTTCTCCTTGGCCTAATAAAGGACTTGTCAGATGAAGAATTGGTTTCTGTTTGAATACTAATTTTGTTTTCTGATTTAAAACACAGTTTAAAGGTTAATCATATACGTACTTAATGAAGGGCAGTTAATGTAACTTTTCTAACTTAAAATGCATCTATTTGTATCTGTATTTGTCTGCAAATTATGGACTTTCTCTATATTACCCACTTTTATATCTAAATCTACAAGAACCTTTGGAAGAACCCTGGGCTCTAAATTAGTATCTGTTTTACTATTAGTGAAAATTAAATTACACAATCTTTTAAGTCCAGGTTTTAATGTACCAACATTTAGAAAAAATGTATCTGGTCATCTGGTTAAGCTCCGACATCTCCACCTAATCTCATATGTACACCAAACAAGAAATTATGTAGCATAAGCATTGTAAAGTCAAACTTTAAAGCTTTTTCTCAGCAGCATAAGACTGTAGATCTCTACAGTCTCAGTTTTCTGAATCAGTCTTTTTTTTCACAATACCAACAACAATATATGAGCCACTTCCTGATACATTGCAGCATGTAGATTGAACAAAGTTAGGGATTTGAGTTGCTGGTAACAAATCTACTTTTTACAAATCTACTTTTTACATTTCTGAGATGCAACTGTTTATTAACATAAATGGTTCATGCACTTTTAATACTCTATAAATCACTGTCTAAAACATAAAGTGCTGAAAAAAACATTTATTGCCCATTATAGATTTCCTTTCTTTGTTTATTATTTTGTATCAAACAAATCCTAGTATTTGATAAATATCATCCGTGTGGAGAGGTGGGTAGTAACTACTTACATTTACTCATTTACTTTTACTTAAGTAACTTTTGAAAGAAAAAAAAAAAAAGAAAAAACACTTTTAGGAGTAGATTTACAGGATTTTATTTTTGCTTGAGCAAACACGTGATAAAATATTACTGGTCTTTTTTGTGTAAAATGTCTGTACTACATCCTTTGTGAGTAATTCACCTGATGAAAAACTTTTTAACGAAATAATATACGAATATACTCTTTTTTTTTTTTTTTTTTTTTTTTTTTTTTCTTTTTCTTGCAGTAGGCTCATTGGCTCAATGTTATTTTCCATTTGCTCAGTCTGCCATGTCATTTGGAGGTTGAGTGATAATACAGTAAAGAGTATACTCTAATTTAACATATTCTACAAACTAACTAATGGAAACTACAGATGTTTTCAATATTTTATAACTGATTTTGTTTTTTTTATCAGTTGTTATACATCAGTTAGTAGTCAGGAGATAGCTTGGGTAGCTTTCTTACCAAATACTTTTTCTCTCTTACTTAAAGGCTACCTTTTATTTGAGTGAAACTATGAAATAAAGTAGTGCTACTTTACTTATGTACAGATTTTGGGGTATTACACTCATCTCTGCCCTTGCAAAGCCTTAGTTGACCAAACCAAACTGATCTTGTGTGAAAAAGTAATTGTTACCTGAACCCAATATCTGCACATGCCCCTGTTGGCAATAACAAAGGCTATTGTCTAAACAATATAAGACAATAATGTTTTAAAGCATGTCCTGTACATTGTTGGGAATTATTTTTTGCTAAATCTTTTGCAGCTGGTTTAGCTCAGCCATGATGGGGCTTTTGTGCCTCACATGCCTAATCAAGTTAATAACGCAGCATCTTTATTTGATTTAGGTACAGGTATTGACTAGGGTAATTCAAGCATTTTCTTTGGTTCGTGTTATTGAGAATTGGAGTTAATGTTGTCCTACGGACCTGGCCTACATCATAATCAGCCGGTTCACAAATAGATGGACAGGCACTGTTCTTAGTGTAGATTCATTTGTCCATCAAGTTAACCATGCCCTGACTCCTGCACCAGACCATCTCAGTAAAATCATGCATACCATCAGCATGATCCCGTTTCTTTAAAAAAAATATATTTTGTGTCAAATTTTGTGTTTCAAAATTTTGTCCTCCAAAAACTTTGAGACCATCAAGATACTTTTTTATTGATTTATTTGTTTGGTCTGTAATGGTTTTCCTGTATGGAAGACATAGAATAATAAAGTACAGACATTTGGAGCAACAATGCTTCTGTTGCTAAGGGGCTTTTGAGATAATTTAGCGAGACCAAAATAAACTGATCTTAAATGTTGATAATCTAATACTTGCATAACAGAAAGGCAGTAATAAAGCATTTTTAATTGACATGTTGTCGTCTATCTTGTGGCGTAAATTCCTTATTTCCATTCTCATATTGATTTATTTCAACCACGTAAACCATATTTACATGTATGTGTCTATAGGGGGCAATATTGGTCCTTTTTGAATGTTGACAGGTCATAACTCAAATATTTTAAATTTTGATCTAACTTGATATCAATAAAGATACAAGGTTAAGCAAAATATACTATGGTTGATGCATCGGAGGCAAATAAAGAAAAAGGGGGAGAGTGGATGCAATAAGTAACAGTACATGTTTGATGCATTTTTTTGTTTTTGAACAGACTCTCTTCAGTCTTATATAACCGCTTTTTGCAGGCATCTTCTTTGTAGCTTTGTGTTTGCGAGCTTGGCTTTGTGACCCCACACTACGGTTCATGACAGTTTCCAAAGGTGGCCTTGCAGGCAGGGTCTGCCTCCCTCCTCCTCCCTCCTCCTGCAGCCCCGGGTTCAGCACCGTGGACAGCTCCCAGCCTCCACCAGCAAACCGCCGCCCGCGGTCGGGCGCTCAGACGCAGGCAGGACAGCGAGGAGCTCGACGGCGCTCTGACCACATGAACAACTGCAGTTTGGGATATTTTGTGTATTTCTCGTCTGACCGACGGACGTGACAACATTGAAGACTGTTGCTGAAGTCAGAAGCTGCAACAATGATCTCACGATACAAACCGGTAAGTGCTGGTATCACCTGGGCACTCAGATACAGACTTCCTTTGTTTGAACCAAAGTGTTTAATCCGCCTTGTCCATCAACTGTCTACAGCAAAAGATTATTTGATACTCAGGTTATTAACTCGGAAAATAGGCACAGAGGGGCACAGTTCTTCTCATTTAACTGGGTCGCCTACATAAATTTAAACAGCTCCAGTCCTTTTCAATTACGTTGCAAATCATTTCAACTCATATCTAATCCAGCGATACAGAAACGGGGTTATAGATCACCAGGGTTCTGGTCTCGATATAAATTATGGGAAGTGTGTGCAGGCTTATTGCATTATTTATTTGTTGTATTGTAGTGGACAGTGAGCATTCTGAAACACGTAACCCCGCCTTCCTCTTCCTAGCAGCAGCGTAAATTCACATGCCTCCCAAATGAAAAAAAAAAAAAAAAAAAAAAATGGTTTACTGTTATCTTCAGCCCATTTAACGTTGTTTTATCTAGTACATGTACTCAATTACCAAGCTGCCCAGATTTTTATATTGTGGAGTTTACATTTACAAATCTCATGTCCAAATTCTGGCAGTAGGCCACTGTTCAGAATTGAATATTGAGAATTTTAAGACTGTCTTTTGTAAAATCTGTAGGTAATCTGAGTCTGTCACATAAAATAGTGTCCCTCCTTCCTATGATTGTTATTGGAGGAGCTGCTACTGGTCGTTCTCATCGTGCATGTCTGCAATCCCACTGGTGCTTTAACTCACTCAAGGTCCTATAAGCTGATCTTTAACCCCCTCAGAAATGTTAATTTGATCAGTGCTGGGTGGGTAAGGATGCAGATATTGGTCCTTTTCTATGTTTTTAGACAATTCGTTTGAAAACATGATCTGTTATTTAATTGAGCAAGATGAATACAGACCAAAGTTAAACGTGACTTATCTTGGGGTGGTTTGTTTAAATGTAATATGTTATTTTATGCTAATGAAGAGAATAAGATTGGGAAATATATTTGCATTATTTTGATATTTGCTTTATGTAAATAAGCACATATTAAAACATCACATTTGAACAAAAAGAAAGGAAACTGGACATAGAAAAACGTATTATTACAAACATAACTGCAACTACCTGTATATAGACACTTCCCCCAAGAAGTAAAATTCACTCATAAGCTTCTGAATTTATTGCTGTTTGTGTTTTTTTAAAGATTGTTGAGTTTAGCTCCATTTTTAGAGGACTGTTTTTTTTTTTTCTTAATGCCACCTAACTGTGACCTATAGATCATCTAGGCATTAAAATCTCCCTAAACTCAGGGGAGGATCTAGTGTTGTGAGAATTATAAACGAGATCTTTAGGGGCTTAACTGCCTCCAGCCTCTCACAAACATGGCATTGATTAGAATAAAGAATTTATTCTAATCGATGCCATTACTTTAAACTCTGACACTTCATTGTTCTTCACACATCTACTTTTACTGGCATATTGCTCAGTTTGCTCTCATCAGGAACAGGCAGGCATCTAACAATAGTAAAAGAAAACACAAAGATTAAAATTCTTTAAAACATATCTTAGGTCCTTTGAACGGGACAATTTGAATGATTTTTTGACATCTTATTTCTTTGCAAGAAAAAAGTAAATAATTTACAGGGGGTTTCTAAGTGAATTACATGGATTGTGAAGTATTAAAATTGTAAGCATGGAAATGTAAACAATATGCTAACCCGGCATGCCCAAGTATAAGTAAGGTCAAGTTATAAGATTTTTTTTCTAAACTTCTTTGGTGTTTATTTACTCTAGGCTTTCTTTCAGGTGTTACTATGTTATCCTGTTAAAGGAAATCAATAAGGTGTGCAGGGTGTGAGACCACAGGGCTCCAGTTAATGTGAATGTGTGTTAAAATGGAAGACCCAGTGGATTTTCTTTCCTTTCTGCTGTGCCTGGTGCCCATCTGTAGCAGCTCACCCTCAATCAGTATTCAGAAGAACTACTTTCTCTGCAACATCCTGAAGTAATTTGAAATCTTGGAGTAACACTGTCTGTGGTAAAATGTTTATTTCTGAGCTTAACATTTCTAATTGGATGTTTCAAAATAATCCTAAAGCACCAGGAAATCCATCTTAAGAATCTATGTGTCAAATTAAAAATCGTATTTGCTCAAACATCTTGGTCTGCATACAGGGCTTTGTAAAGCTATTCACACCAGTTTGCTTTTTATATTTTGCCGTGTTATGATCACAAACGTGATTGTGAATGGGAAGAAAAACTATGGATAATTTTTACACATAAATCTGAAATAACATGGCATGCATTTGTAGTCAGCCTCATTTACTCTGACACCCCTAAATGAAATCCATCTGCCAAATGTGAATGTTCACCTAAACCAAAATGTCAGAGAAGTACAGCATTTAGAAAGAAGGAGCAGACAGGCCCATATTAACCCAGAAGGAGCTACAGAGATCCATGGCACATATCGGAGAACTGGTCATAAAGACATCTGTTTATTGTTCCTCACTCCACAAATTAGTTTTTTAAAGAAAATAATAAGATAATTGTTGAAAGAAATTAACAGGCAGTCCTGTTTGAAATGTGCTTAAATTCAGGTATTGGATTTTAATTGAAAATGCTTAATGTTACAGTAAACTAACCCTGAACATAACCTGACCGCAGCATCCCTATCATGACATGTGGCGGTCGCAGCATCATGCTATAAACATGCTTCCCCTCTTGTAGAGGGAGATAAGCTGGTTAAATCTGATGTGAAGATGGATGGGCATAAATAAGTCTTTTGTGATAAAACAAAAAATAGATATACAAATCTAGATGTGTTTATATGGTAGAGAGATACCCCAAAAGAATTGTAGCTTTCAGTAGTAAAAGCCGGTTCTATAATTATTGACGCAGGAGAGCTGAATACAATTGGGATCCTCATTGTTATAACTATTATTGGCGCTTTTCTATCACATAAATGCATAATGTGGAAAAGTGTCAGAGTATGAATACTTTTACAAAACATTTTCACCAACATCACCAACTGTGTTACTTACTCTGTTGTTTGCTCACTGTACTGAGTTTGTTGTAAAGATCTTGATGTGAGTTGTGTTGTTGGACAGACTCTCAAACCATTACTGAACATTAAGAAAGCAGTGAAAGCCTGTTTATTTTAAGATAAACAGAAAACAGAAAATGCAAATAAAACAAACCTCTGTTCTAAATGTAAGGTAAAGTTCTGCAGGTACGTGACTCAGCACTGGGTTATGTAACAGCATACATGTGAGGTAGTCTTTGAGCTGATTCTAATGGAAAAGGCAGTAATTTCCTCCTACAGACATGTGGATTTTTCACTTAGTACCTGAAAACAGAACATCTTATAATTTTATTGTGTTTTTATGGGACAAATCTTAAGCCCTGGGACACAGTTTTGATTTGTGGTAAAAAACAAAAAAAACAAACTCTTAGTTAAAGCTTAATTCTATTTTGTTTTGACTTACCGTAACCAAATCACAGCTCCAAACCAAGCTTTTGAAAATGTTTGCATCTTTGTGTTTTCACACTCGTGTAAACTGCTCATTACATAGGCTTAACTGTCTGCTATAATCAGTTGGGGGCACAACGCAGAAAAGCATGCATTATTTTATGCCGCTAAGAAAATCCTGTGAGGTTTTCCTGTTCCCAGATGGATTATCAAAAATCTGCTCCCGTTTGGTTTCTGCTTATCCCTCCATAAACAAGCTGACGCTACGCCGGGATTCTCTCCCGGCAGGACTTGGAGGCGCAATTAAAATCATTCCAGAAATTCATGAATGTTTCATTAACTGCACAAAAGTCGTTATTCCCAGGTACAGCGTTAAATAATGGAACGAGGGGTAGAATACTGCAAGCCCTTATAAATGCTCTGTTCTGAGTCACGTTATAAGCAGTTGCTCATGCCTCTCACGTACCTCTGATATGACGTTTGCATGGTTCATCCAGCAGCTGAAACCCCCCGTCTTTTTTCCTTTCCTCTCTCTTTATCATTCACTGTTCTCTCCTTCATCCCCTTCATTTAGCGCTTCTTACTTACACTTCCAGCAAGCCTGCACTCTCTGCCCCCTTTTCCACTTGTCATCCAAGGTCGACTTTGAACTCTAAAGAGACAGGAATAGCTGGTGTACTGCATGTGTGCCTGTTTGTGTGCGTGAGCGATGTGAGGGTGTCTGAATGCATTCTGCCAGAGCTATGCAGAGCTCTGCACAAGCAAAGCTTCAGAGTTAGAGGATGTCAGCAGCCTGCAGTGGGACAGGATGCAGATGTTTCTCACCAACATGGGAAAAGCTGCTTAGACAGTCAGAGAGGAGAGGGAGCTGCTGCTGCTGCTTCACCAGACTCTGATTTTGTCCCTTGTTTTCCACTGGAGCTGATATTTTGGAGCTGGATCAGAGAGAAAGGAGGTCACGCTGGGAATTTGCAGGATCCTCAGAAGATGCAGTGTTGCCTTTTAAAAGACAGAATGCTCTGAACATATCATCTTTATCTTCTCTCTGTCTCTCCGTCTCTGGTTTTCCGCTCCTCCTTCTCCTCTTCCTCCACCTTTTCCCTGTCAGAGTCCCGGATCCACCATGTCCTTGGCTTTCTGTGGGAGTGAGAATAACTCATCTGCCTACAATGTGGACGGAGGTGTTCTCAACAACGGCTGCTTCCTGGACGCGCTCAACGTGGTTCCACATGTTTTTCTCCTCTTCATCACCTTTCCCATCCTCTTCATTGGTGAGTCTAGCAGGGAGGTAAGATTCTCAGCCTCCCCACACTATACAGATAGCACACACTCAGCATGCACACAGGATGTCAGCATAAGCAGATCGATGGACTCCAACTTGTTCTCTCTGTGTCCTTGCAGTCGTCTGTCTTCCAGTTCTTCAATGTCTCCATGTTAATAATTTTAATGTTTTGTTTCCTTACTAAGTTCAAATACTTTAATAAATTATACTTTAATATTAGATTTTCTTCAATGTCTATTATTTCTAGAAATCAAAATAAAAGGGGTGTAATACTCATCTACTCGAAGTAGATTCTAACAAATTTCTTTGTCAAAAAATCTGCATAAATCTTGCATTTTCTCCCGAGGTGAATATTTTGCACTGCCACCTTTAGCTGTGGCTGGCCTTTTGGTCTCTATTTTTCTCTTCACTAGCTTTATACAGTGTATCTAGACACTAAGATGCATGCCATTTATTTTGCTAAATAGCTCATGCTCAATCAGACTGGGAGACAGTATCCATGGTGTCTCTTGCTGTATGTTTAAGGCTGTTGACCTGCTGGAAGCTGGACCTCCTTGCCAGTCTTAACTATTTTATAGCCGTAGTTGTCTTAAAGCATTGCTGTGTGTTTATCTCCATCTACCAGACTGTTTACACTTACCAGCTCCCCCGTCCGCACTAAAGAAAGGTACCCCCACAGCACAAGGCCGCCACAACCATATTTTATTATGAGATTGGTGTGTTTGAGTAAATTCTGGTGTTAGACTGCCAGCAAAGTTCTCCAAAGTAGCCAAAAAGGCAAATTTTGTTTCCATCTGACAAGAGCATTGTCTTCTACATATTTACTGTAACCTTTCGTGAACCGCTGACAGGACTTGTTCTCAGTTATCCATTGCTTTTTTCTTATTTCTCTTTGAAATACGACAATCAATAGTGCAGAATCCACCTTAATGTTTAAATGAAGGATTGGACAGTCCTCTGGAAGATGTTCAACACTTAGGATATTACTTTAAAATCTAATTCTACTTTATACCCAGTATATTAATTTTTATCTATATTCCTAATTTGAACTACCATTGACTTCACAGTATCAGTATTTGTCATATGACTGCTTGAATGAAATATTTGGTCAGATATCACAATTCTTTTTTAGAAGGTCAATATTCTGGTAAAAAAAAACATTTTGGATAGTCTTCAACTGCTCTTCATGATCACCATATACATATTTTATTGGCTAAGGTGCTAAAACTAACAGAAATTGATGGGAGGATTCTAATAATGAATTAGTACGAATTGAGAAAAAGTGGGTTAATCTTAAATATTTCTCGATTGCAATGTTCAGTCATGTTGCTGCAATAACATGTTCTCCAAATGTTGCGTACATCTATTTTTTACAGAAAAAGAAACAGGGCCAACAAATATCCCTACTGTCTCTCTAAATGTCCTTGAAAGCCTGCCTGCATCCTTTATAAGAAGTGGAGAAATCTTGGAAAAGAGATTAAAAGTCTAGTTGTGTCGCATTGAAGCTTGACCTCTATGACTGTGAATCTACAATGACACCTCAGAACAAAGTGACTTTAAATAAATGCATTCTGCAAGACAATGTGATCTTCCTGTGATCCTACTGACAGCATGCAGGGGCTGAACTGTTGCTGGCATTAGATTACACATCCTCGGCTCACCTTTCGGGCTGCTGGACTTTCTATCAGTGTCATCACTGGAGTGTAACAAGGCTCTCTGCTCGCATGGGTGCTATGATCACACCTGCTCAGGCCTCATCATTGACGACTCCTACTTTAGATGTTATGTAGTGTTCGGGGCATATAAATGTGTCTAAACTGATTAATGCAGCATTGTAGGTACTAAAAAGATGGTGTCATAATGTGAGTCATTACCTCTGGGCTACATCATTTTAACTGTTGACTATGAAAGCTAACCCAAAGGTGGGTGTCACAACAGGAAGTTTTTACTTAAAACACATGAAGTTCAGGTGCAACTTAGTAAGGAACATTTAACTAAACTGAGATGAGATTTCTATGTATTTTGAAACTATATAGATTAAAAAAAAGTCCCATTAAATGAATATCTTCCATCCAATTCTGGATTTTAAAGATAAATACAGTTTTATATTTGAATCATTGTACTCCAGAGAAAGAGCAGCTACTATGACCTTCACAGCAATTATTAGTATAGTGAACAACATACATAGCTGCTCTCTGCTCATCTCCCATCTTTAAAATCTTTTAAACCACTAGGAGCCTAAATCGTAACTTGTCACTAAAAATAAACACCTTAAGATTGTAGTTGGCCTACAGGGGTTCCTTCCTCACTTCAGCCATCCTGTGCTGATGTTTTCAGCAGCGTCCTCACCACTAAAGACAATCCTCAGGGGGTGGGGATTCTTTCCCACTAACCTGACAGAGCCTTTATAGTCTGTCCTGTTTATATTCAGCCTGATGCCTGATGGAGACCATTGTGCCCTGAAGCTATGCAATGTCTTTCTCAGCTGGTGTTCATGAATTCACAGAGTTACAGACAGGCTACTGTTTAAATAAAAACTGGAGGGATGAGCAGGCATTCACTAAGAGACCTTTATAAGACTGTTTACATTACAAAAACCAATCCAGAGGTCTATTCAAGCTCAGTCACCCAAACGATCTCAGCCTATAATAGCTGACCTATATCTATGCAGTTAGCAGTTTATTGACATCTACACATTTCATCTCGTGTAAATAATTTTGGTTTTTGCATATGCAGAGAAAGTAGTTGAATGATATATGATCATTTCCCCCAATAATTTACTTACATTTTACGATGAACAGTGCTTGAGCAGAGTGAATGAATTTGCATGTGTGAAAAAAACCTGAAAGGGAAAAGATGTGCAGCAGATCAGTCTGTGCCAACACTTCAGAGTGAAAAAAAAAAAAACGTCAAAGGAGCCAAAACCACTAGAGTCTTTTATGTAATGTCATAAAGAGAGTTGTTTTGACAGCAGATACTAATATTTGTCACATAAACTGTATTTTGATGATTCACCTTTGGTCATTATGTGTCCTGAGAAAAGGCCAACATTTGTTCAAGTGAAAATGATAAATGGAAAGAGCTGAAACATCGACTCACTCTAATGCTAGCAGCCATACAACTACTTCGACTGCCTGCCAAGAATCAGCCACAGTATTTAAAATGACTGTGAAATAAACTCCATAAACTCTGGCAGGCAGCCATGTTTGTAGTTTATTTTCTACGCTATTCAGCCAACATGTAGGTCTTGGTTAGTCTCTAATCCTCACAAGGCATCAGTTTGACAAAACTCACAACGCTATATTTCCTAAATGCATGCTCTAAATGCATGCTCCCTCTATAACATGCAAACATTGTCTGTTTTCATGTTTTAAGACGTGCTTTTCAAATAGCATCACCTGATACTTTAAATTAGTTCTCTTCATCTCAGGTTGGGGCAGCCAGAGTTCAAAAGTCCACATCCATCACAGTACCTGGCTTCACTTTCCTGGACACAACCTCCGCTGGCTCCTCACCTTCGTCCTGCTCTTCATCCTGGTCTGTGAGATAGCAGAAGGCATTGTCTCTGACGGGTAGGTCAAACCCAAATACCCGAATTTTGCTTCTATAACTACATAAATAAACAGGACATCCTATGAATTCCCACATGTTTGCCAACCTACTTAGACTTTTGTGCTTGGTAAAAACAAATAAAAAAATCATTAAAAACTGAAAAAAATACATTCTTTAAAATAGAAAAATCACATTTGGGGGAGGGATGAATTAGGAAAGACCCACAAGGGCGACAGTGGCGTCGGGTGTAGGAGTTTGATTGATGGTTTCAGTGTCATTGTGTCCTTGGGCAAGATACTTCACCTGCATTGCCTGCTGATACTGCCAGCGTATGGCCGCCTCGCTTTTGTCAGTGAGCCCCAGGGCAGCTATGGCTACAATGTACAATGTAGCTTGCCACCATAAGTGTGTCAGCATGTGTGTAAATACGTGAATGACTGAATGTAGTGTAAAGTGCTTTGAAGTCTCCTCACTTAAAAAGGTGCTATATAAGCACAGGCCATTAATTCTTTGTTGAAATAGCTTGCAATATAAGCAGATTTTCCTATTAAAACTTTAGAAGTGTAATTTTGGGTCTGCTCTTGATTGGTGTAAAAATAAACACCATCTAAGATCAAAAACAGCCCTTTGGGCCTTTAGAAAAAAATTAAATATATATATATATTTTTTTTATGAGTCTGATCAAGGCTTTAAACCAGTGAAGCATGTCAAATCAATTACACCATGATACAGAAAATCGTCTACAGCTAGAGGAAATTTAAAAAAAGAACTAATGGCCCTTAAAGCAGACCACAACATGCTAAAATAAGAAACCAAAACCCCCGAAATGTAATCAGGAGCCAGCAGAAAGTGCATACATTTACAATTAGGAAGAGTTTGTACACGTTTGATCCTCATAGAAGATAAGCAAGGTGCAATTTTATGAAAAGGTACCATGTTGGTTTGTAGTTTTTTTTACCCACATGCAGAATCACACAGAGAAACAGTGAGTTTTATCATTTTATTTACAAAGCAACTAGAATCTGGAAGCAGAGAACTCAAGGAAGTCAGTTGAACTTTTTTGATTGGTCTGAAGGGAGAAAGCAGGCTGATAAGGAAGGAGTTGGTTGATGACAACTGATGACTGATGATTAATTTCCTAATTTGGGAGATGAAGGTGAGGTAGCATAGATCTGTAGGGGTTTGATTCAGCGGGCTATGCAGACTGTACCCCAGAGGTCCAGCAGAATGTCCATATAATAGTAGTCGTCTAGTCATCTTGATTGAGAAATGTTCTCAGGTGTGCATTAACACATATTGGCCTAGCCACCAGCAAAGATCCTCTCTGTAACAGGAAGCGTACTCACACAAGAAAAACAGCATAACCCCAGAGACCCTAACAAAAAGCCCACAAAGGCCAGACTAAAGATTACGAAAAAGGGGACCATGTCTAGAATAACATTCTTAGTTGATATTAATAAAACTAAATTAGTTGGAGGACAGTTTTGGCATTGAACAAATTGGTAATTTAGCATTAAACTGCATTCCAAGAAATTTGCTACCTATTAACCTTGCTCTGCTGCAAGCAGGACCAGATCAGCGGAACTTAACTAACCAGGATGACAAAGACTGGAAATATACCACTTAAGATTCAAGGTTCATTCATAAAAAACTCTAAAGTATTCTATGTCTGAAAGTCAGGAGAGGGGAAACCATCATCAGACTGATGTAAGAAACTGATAGACGAACACAAGATGTCATTGAAGCTGATTTTGCCAACCAGGGTAAACCAGTCCATTAGGAGGAAGGACAGCTCACCTTTTATTTTGACTAGAAAATTAGTTTTTATCTAACTATTGTTTTGTGGCTACAAATAGTATTTTTTTTCTATAATTAAAGTCAATTTTTTTTCAGAGATTAATAAGTAAAAAGACCATAGATTGATTTATAAACTAAACATTTAATGTTGTGTATTATTTTTTTTCCATATTGCTGAATGCCTATCATATGTTGGTATTTTTGGGTGATTTTATCCATTTTATTCAATTACTGTATCTCTGGATTTTTGATATTTCATAACAATCATTAATACAGCAACCTTAAATTTATGCCAGTCTTGCAGATTACATCATTTCCTGAAGAGAACTTTTTTTTTTCTTTTTTTTCCTACATTTTAAAAAGAAAAGCATCAGTGTCAGCTGCTGAAAAATGTAACAGGGCTTATTAAATTCACCTCAGTAGTTTGTCTGAGTTTTTGTCTGTGGAGGGGAAACTGATATTTTCTGCATTTTATTGTGTTCCTCTAATTTGGTTTTATCTTGGATTATTCTTGATTACTGCAAGGCAGTAGTTCCTCAGAGTGATTTTGTTATCTAATCAAACACTGTTATCCACCTGCGACGCAGGCTGAATTAAATTAACTGCAATTGGCACCTCCCTGACCACAGTTCATCATCTGCGCTTGTCCTTATGTCATTATCAGATTCGCTGAAGAGAGCTTGGTTGGGATTAGTCTCCATGTAAATGACATCAGGTTTAGTATATTTTGCAGAGCTGAAGAAGAATGAAAGGAAGATCTGTATAACAATCCAAAAAGCCTATTGGACCACGAGTTTATTACAAGACAGGAAGGAAGCTCCTGTATAGACTCTGCAGGTCTGTTTTGCAGTCCTACTGTTTGGAGGTTCCTAAAAACAACAGACTTTGTGCTTTATAACCTATAAAATGATGGACTGAGTGCTTATCATTGTCATAGATATGCGATATCACGTTGAATGAAAATAAATCCTGGAATATTGAGCTCAGTAAAAGATTATAAAAAAGCTCTGCTTTTACATTTTAGAAACACCTTGGTCTTAAAAAAAATGAAACACTAAAACCGCTAATGTTGCAGCCTAAAGACACAGTTAGATTTAAACATATTTAAATGACTGGAATTTGACTGTAAGACGCAAACATTTTTCAAGTATTTTAGCATTTTATTATATATCGTGTTACCTTAACACAACTCTTGTATGAAGAGCTCTACAATAATATTGTTTTATGTTTACAACTTAGTATTAATTGTATTGATTGCCTTTAATTTTGGGTTGCATTTATTCAGTATTTAGTAGAAATGCACCCATCTGATACTAGGATCAGATATTGACTTTGATGTTGACTAATTAGCTGGATGGGAAAGCAGAGAAATGGAGCTGAGCCCACATTCCTATCCAGCCATTTCTATCGTTGATATCATAAACAGCCGTACAGTTACATCTAATCATGTAATTGAGGAGAGCTCACATAGCAGCTAGCGATGATCTACCGTATCTCTGTGTTCATTTGTTTCCTTTTTTAACTTTACTCACCTGGAAAGGTTTAAGGTTAATTCATTCAGCAGTAGTATCGGATCGGTATCGGATATCGGTATTGGTATCAGATTGGATTGAAAAAAAATGAATGGGTGCATCTCTAGTATTTAGTTAAGAAACACTTAGTTTCATATTTCCTTGAGAAATAACTTTGATCTTAACTGCAATTAGGTAAAAATTGCAATGATAGACTAAAAATTGAATGCTTTATCTAAAACGTTTTGGTTTATCTTTTTATCCCTAGTTTAGAATTTTAGTTCAAAAACGAAGTGGAACAACATTTTATGTAGTTTCTATGGCTGAATGATATGGGAAAAGAAAAAAGAAGAAGGAAAAATATTTGCATGTCCAGACTTTATCCCTTGTTTCACCCAATCGTCTGTCCATCCACCCATCCATTCTTGAAAATGTAATCCATAAAATTTAAATTTACTTTTTTTCAGGTTATTTTTAAGTGAGTTATTTTTTTCTCAAAGTCAAATAGGCTGAATGCTTTGAATATTTGACTCTTAGAAAAGTATGAAATTTGACATTAACTCAAGACGACATTTCATTGGATGCAAAATTAGTTTTGATGAGGATGATTTGCACTTCTTTATTGAGTTTTCTGACACTGAGTCAGTCCTCCACCTGCTGCCTTTGCAGCTGGCACCATGTACCATGGGCTGAGTGGAGCTGAGCAATCAGGAGTGCTACTGTACCTAATAAAAACCAGTCAGTAGGCTGTAGTGAGTTCACTGTGTTCTGCTCAAGCCAAAATAACAGCAGAAGCTTCCATTTAAATTGTAGGATTAATAGTGAGATATTTTAGATTTATCCTTTTTAATTTAAAATTTGCTCTTTTAGACGCTGATCACATAAACCTCTCTGTTCTCTCTGGTTTCCCTGCTGTAGCATGCTGTTGGCTAATGCAGTGAGTCAGTGAGGTTTTGTGAGTTTTACACATCAGTGTTTTTTCGGAGAAAAGAGGATTGTAAACCATTGTTACTTAGTTGGTCAGGAGAGCTCTCCATCTGCTCATCTCCTCAGCTGGCTATTTAGGCTGACCTTACTGCTGCCCTGAAGAGGCACCTATGGTCATTACAGACTATATATATAAATGCTGTTGTTTGCTGTTTAATCATCATCTGCTGCCCCTTTAGAAATACACAACATTTCTGTTAACTTCTCTACTACCTGCCTGAACTATCATCTAACTTGTTTATTCTTCTGTTTGATTTGTTTTAGGTTCAGCCAATCGCCCCATCTTCACCTGTACATGCCTGCAGCCCTGGCCTTCATGGCCGGCATCACATCGATTGTCTACTATCACAACATTGAAACCTCCAACTTCCCCAAACTGCTGTTAGGTACAGTCTTCTTCAAACCCCGTCCCTGCATGAGTTTTTCCCCCTAAAGATAATCTGATATAGAAATGGAGCACTCTGTAGTTAAAGCTCAAAATCTTGTTGCATAAGAATACGGATTTAGTTTCATAAAAAAGATTAGTGCATATGAGGACAAATAACAAGCTGGTTCCCTTACACCCTGAGGAAAATGTATTCATATTAATGCCTAAATAACTAAAGGCTTGTCCTTTTTTACCCAACCCTCTTGATAACTTAATAATTCAACAAACTCTTTAAGTGACAAAATCAAGTTAAATGGTTTTTTGATGTTTTAAATTCACCTTTGCCAGGGACTAAATTGCCTCATTATTGCTCATGGCAATATGACATTGCCCATAAATCATGCACACAATCACAGATTATTATGCATCAAAGCACCACAAACAGACTGCACAATGATTTTATTTGAAAAGTGGCAGCAGTATTTATAAAGAGTCCAGGGGGAGTCTAAAGGAAAGATTAAAGAGTAGTAAAATCATCAGTCTTTCCATAGAAACCACCTAAAAGCTATTATTACCCATTAAATGACACATTTACTATAGGAAAAACCAAATTCTCTACTTAATTTCCCAACAATTAATACTATGTTTATCTTCTGAAGCAAAGTGGTCTGTTAAGGGATCCACAAAAACCTCAACAGCTGCCTGGTTTCTTGCTTTCTGTTTTAAAACATCCTCCAGATATTCATTAGTCTCTGCACTGTTTATGGCTCTGAGTGAGCTGATAAAATCAGTACTTTGCAGAAGGTTGTAAATAACCTCTAACTTCTTGGTATATTGTTTCAAAACTTTTTGAGCCATTTGTAAAGTGATCTCGATCAATAGTTTTCCAGACTTCTTGAAGGTCTAACTGAGGTTCTCTATTTTGAACTTTTCACTCAATGCCAGCTCAGCTTCCCACCAATAAAAGCATTTGGTGCAGCGTCTACATCAGAAAAGTAGACCTATGTAGGACAAAAGTATTATTCTTGCAAAAAAACGTGTCTGAAAGTCATGTTTAAGAAATGATACATCTTAGCAACACATCATGGACTATTTTATATTTGGCATTATTTGTATACACCACTAAAGAAATTTAACTAATGAGGTTGATGTGACCAAACTGCCTAAATATCTAATTTATGTTTTGTTTACCAGAAGAATAGATCAGCAGTGGTCATGAATTGGCTGGGGGGGAATGGTTAGCTAAGGTACTTCCTCTGGCCTAGTCACTACTAATTGGTCTTTACCAACTGTCCAACCCTCTTTTGGTTGCTCACCAAGCATTCTTTGATAAGCAGCAGGGTGAAGTAAAAAGGAAAAATATTCTCATTTCAAGTTTAAAGCAAACATAAAAGCAGATAAAACAAAAACATGCAAAAATCACACAGCTTCAGACTGAAATATTTTTCATAAAGTAACACGCTTTATGTCATCAGTATTACATGCTCAGCTGTTTTGTCTGAATGCTGCAGTATTTCTCATATTTTTTGCTAAAAATACTGAATATTTGATCCCAAAAATACTTCTGCAGGTTATTTTTCAATAAATCAATTCATCATTTGATAAATCAAAGACTGATTATACAAATGGTTACAAAAGAAACTTTTGAAGAGATTAAAGGTGAACGTCAAGCTCATGGAGCATTAGTATCAGATTGTTGTTTGAGCCAAAGTGGACTTAATGAGAGACGACAAAGGAGGAATTCAATTGTTAAAAATCAATAACTAAAAAGCCAGCTTTGAATCTGCCAAACTACATTTTGATAAGCCACAAAGCTTGTGTGAGAATGTCCTATAGAGAGATGAGACAAAAATCTAACTTTTTGCCAAGACACATCAGCTCTATGTTCACAGATTGGAAAATTAAGAATGTTGAGAAAAGAACAATGTCTCTACTGTAAAACATGGAGAAATCTCTGTTGCCCTGTTATGTTCTGGCACATCTGGCACAGGGTGTCTTGAATCTCTGCAGAGTACAATGAAATCTTAAGGCCATCAAGGGATTTTAGAGAGAAATTTACTGTCCATTGTCAGAAAGCTTGGTCTTCGTCATTGGTACTGCAACAGCATAATGACCAGTGGTGGTTGAAGTACTTAACAGTAGTACTTGAATGAAAGTATTGATACTCATAGTCAAATCTTGCCTATGACTTGGGGTGGGGGAACATGTCTCCTGCACTTTTTCAAACATTGTTTTCGGTCCCCTGCACGTATTACTGTTCAAAAACAATGTTATGCTTCAGTACACAGACCTTCGTCAAGCACATTGGCCATGCAGAAAACCGCAGGTCAAACTGAAGCTCGCTTCCCTGAGTTTAGAGCGCCCACAAGCTCCTGAATGGCGGACTGTCATTTCTTGTGTGATTGGCTGTCACCGCTGTCACTCCTGAGAAGCTCACTTTACAAACATCTGAAGAGCTCAGTGGCTCATCAGTTCTGTGACTGGACGGTCAAACAACCTGAAGTTAGTTATATTAAAAATACTTTTGTATCCCTCACTTCTGAAACCCAAATTTAATCAATGTAGTGGATTAGAATGAACAATATTAGACTGAAATATAGTGGAGTGAAAGTTATAAGTACCCCCATAAAAAAAAGGACTCAAGTAAAATAAAATAGTCAAAAAAAATGTACTTAAGTACACTAATCAATTCAGTTTCAGTTTATTTATATAGCGACGATTCACAGCACATGTCATCAATCAAGTAAATGTACTTTGCTACATTCCACCACTAATGACCCAAAACACACATCTGAAAGCAGCCAGGAATGGTTAAGAGGAAACCATTGGACTATTCTGAAATGTCCTTCTATGAGCCTTGACCTAAATCCTATTGAGCATCTTTGAAGGGGCTGAAACATGCTGTCTGGAAAAGGCATCTTTCAAACCTGAGACAACTGGAGACATTTGCTCATGAGGGGTGGGCCAAAACACCTGCTGAGAAACAGAAGTCTCACTGACAGTTAGAGGAATCGTTCGATTGCAGTGATTGACTGAAAATGTTGTGTAGCAAAATCTTTAGGGTAGCGTTGTTTTTGTCCAGCCCTGATATATATTGTTTTATTGTTCTCTTAAAACATAGTTGAAAGTAATGCCTTTACTTTCATTTGTTCATTTTCATACAATTTATTTTTCCATAATATATTTTTATCACTACTTTTGTCAGATTCAAGTTACCTCTGTGGGTTTTTCTTTCATCAAATGAGAGGTACCAACACTTTAGATTTAGGAAAAAGGGTTCTGAGACATACTTAATATCATAAGCGTTCGGATGGGATTTTAGCAAAGGATTTTTATCAAAAGCATAATGTGGAAAAAAAATGAATAGTTTTATTAACTATACATGTAAACAGATTTTTATGGGGCCCCCAGGAATTGGGGCCAGAGGCAACTGCCAAGTATTGCCTAATGGTAAATCTGCCTCTGTCTCTATCAGAACATATCTAAGGGAATTACAGTGCTGTGGGCAAATCACATTCCACCTTTTCCTGAAATAATTTCCTCATTTGCATATTTAATATCAATACTTTTTGTAATGAAAACACATTAATCTGCCTGCTAAAGATTTAGCTTATAGATTAATGAATCATCCCAGTCTAGCCCCCATCATTATCAGAACCACCTCCTGTAACAATTGCTCCGTTAAAGCTTCTCTTCTGTTGATGTGGCTCTTCTTTGGTTCTTACGCTCCATTTACTCTTCTGCATGCCACCTTTGATGTTTTACTTCCATCAAGTTACCAAGCCGCCTTTGCCTTTAGGTCTCCATATCACAGCCAGACAGATATTAATCTTGTAAATGGAGACTGAGGCGCAGACTGTCCAGCTGATAAAGTAATGCCATAGGAGTTCTTCATTACAAAACATGTAAACACTGTTTGTGAGTCTCCTGCTGAGTTGGATGCAGTCCTCTGATCTTTTTCCATGCTATCTACCAATGGACTATGCAAATTACTCTTCTTTTCTTGCTGTTTTCACTGTGACCCTCAGAGAGTAAAGAGCAAACCAGTTGGACTGACCATGGGTGATCTCTGACATTGAAAGTGGGGACTTTTTATTGCTTTCTTTTTGGCACTCTTTCTTAACAGCCATATTGAAGGATTGCTTGACTAATATGTTTCTTTTATCAGGTTTTTAAATCTGTGCGGCTCCTTTTGTCTCACTGAGGACCCTTTCTCTGCTTTTCTGATAAATTATTTCCTTGTAAATAGTACAGATAGACTCAAACTCATTTAGTTAAAAAAAAAGCTTTCTGTTGAAGATTTGAAAGCATCAACTGAGGGAGCTGGTCTTATGTCCAGAAGCAGCTTGTTCTCGAAGTTCACTGATCTCTTAATGTCGTCTGTGATTTAGGTCAGCTGTCCTGAGGGAATGCAATGGGCATTAGAGGTGCAACAAATATGCTGTCATAAGGCAAATAAGAAGCTTATAATATGATAAAAGAACTCAGATTGATCCTGACATAAATGGTCAGGTGCATCACAAGTTGTGAGCTGTTTCCTTTTTAAACAGAGCTTAACATCATGCTCAAAGCTTAGTTTATAACTTTATCCCTGACCCCTCTGCTGCATTGCTTTGTCTACATGATGCTGCCTGTTCTCCAATGAAGTCTGTAACCCAGAGGTTAACAGAGCTACCAGTGTTAATAAAAACAGCAATAAATACTTAAAATAAAAAATTTAATTAGTTCATATGGTAAAATATATCTAAAACATCTAAAATGTTTTATTATTTCAGTTTAAAAACATACAAAACAGGTGAAATTAAATCACACATACCTCAGGGCACCTCAGGGCCACCGTAGATAGCTCTCAATTTAAAATGCCACCCTCCAGTAAGGTTTCTTATCTTCTATGGTTGCTTGATGATTTGCTGTTTTTCTGATCTTTGTGACATTTTCACAGCCCTGCTGATCTACTGGGTGCTGGCTTTTATCATGAAGACCATCAAGTTTGCAAAATACACCGAGCACGGCATCAGCCCCAGGCAGCTTCGCTACTGCATCACTGGACTGCTGGTGCTGCTCTATGGACTTCTACTGGCTGTGGAGATCAACGTCATCATGGGCAGGGTGAGAGTTGGTGTGTGTTTGTGTCTTCTTTCTGGTAAAGAAAATGTTTGGTTTGTGATGCAGTGTGCAGTGACTTGGAATAATTAAAATGCAGGACTGCTGATGGAGATTATATTAAATAAAACTTGATACAAGTGGGAAATGTGACTGTGGTAAGAGTACACAGATATGTGTTGCTGCTCTGAAAATAGAGAATTTCTGGTTGGCGGCAAACATACAACAATAATGGCCCTCGCAGACTATATTTCTTTTAGGCTTAAGGTCAACATGCCCATAATGGTGATCCTAACATATGTATGGATGGATAAAGGATGGATAAGTTCCATCAGTCTGCAGCACCATCTGTTGTTGGCTGCTGTTCTTAATTTGGTAAGGTTTAGTCTGCCTTTGGCTTTATAATTCCCATGTGTGCTCATTACATTGCAGCAAGAGTAAGGCAAAGTCCAACTTTTAGAATTAACCATTTATTGGCTTTTCAATTGAAAATAAAAATCAGCACATATACAGCCTTACACATATTACACTTTTTTAAAGATGGTTTAGATCCTTCATTTTATTTCTGTTGCTTCACTTTTTTTATTATTACTTTTTATTTTATAATATGCCCTATTAAATATTTCAAACACACATAATAATTTTAAAGGCTTACATTAGCAAATATAGTATATATATATATATATATATATATATATATATATATATATATATGATGCCGATTTAGAGAGTGGGCCTTTGTGCTGGGTGCAAATCTTTCTGACATTCTGGTTTCAGCTCAGTGCCACATTTTGACTGATGGCTGATGGTGAGCCATTCTTTTTTAAATCTTGCTAGGAATTTGCATCTTTTTCATGGTTTCTGTTATTGATTTTTGTCAGATCTGATGGCCGATTCTGTATGGGTTCAAGTTTTGGGCTGCTTATTGCTCATGCATTCTGAATTACTTCAATCTTTGAATGCTTTCATCATTTTTTTCCTTTGTGACAATGTCTCATCAGGCTGCACAGATCATCACAAATTGCATCTTGACTGTTGGATGAAATCGCCCTTGGAGGATGTTTTTTTTTTTATTTCTTCTTATTCAGGCTCACACAGGTTTTATTAGGATGCTGCAGGACAGACTTATGGTTGTATTCACCTTCTCTCCAAACAGGCTTTTTCTGATGCTTAACAAATATCTAAAGGAGGGAGTTATGAAGACAGTTTTCCTCTACGTCCTTATACTTCCTGTAAAATCTATTTTTTTGTGTTGCTTTGTGTTGTTCTTTGCTGTATGAAAGCTGGAGACTTTTTGCTGATTTTATTTTCTTACAAATATAATATCCAAAACTTCTTTGTGTCAATGCATCCAAATGTTGAGCAATATTTATGCTGGATGCAGCAGGACTCTGTAGGAAATCCATCTATGTTACATGGTCAGCTTGAACCAGTCTAGAGTAGCACTGTCCTGAAGATCAATGAATAAGACTCTGTCGTTTTGCTATAATTAGAAATGGTTTTAAAGATATTATTAAATAAAAGAATAAAACTATTGTCTCTGAAAAAGAAGCTTCCCTGAGATAATAATAGCACCACGAACCCAGCAAAAACAAATCTATCTGTAGATTGGAAATTTACACATGAGAATTCGGCCTTTTAGGTTCTTGAAATAAAGCTAATAAAATAAAGTTAATTAAAAGTACAATATTTGCTCATCATTTCTGTTTTGGACAAAGATACTTCCTACATGTTATTTATGTGATATTTTAAGGAATCGTGTTTGGTTTATCATTTTAGTTGGATGTTTTTATCATTTATCTTTTTTTGTACTTTAAAATGTTTAAAATGATTTTGTCGTAGTTTTTATTTCTCCTACCTTTACTTCTCTTCTGTTTTGCCTCAGTTTGAGACATTTTCCACTCAGTTGTCACACACTGTAGCTTTGACAGCTCTTCAACTTGTAATCAATTAACATTTCTTTCCTTTTTTTTTTTTTTTTTTCACATTCAGTAGTGACAGTCCCCACCAAAAAACAATTATGCTTCTGGTCTCATTAGTGATTGTATGTGTGCTCTCTGTACTGCTGCTTTGCTTTTTGGTTTGCCTTTTGTTTTTCTCTATGGTTGGTTTCTACTCTTTAAGTTTCTGAACTTTGTATTTTCTAAAATAACACTGTTTAGTCACCTTAAGGCGTGCCTATCCCTGGAAAAAAAAGATATTCAATCAATTCATACAGTTTAATTGCCTGTCAGACCTTTGAAACTAAAATTCTTTCAAATGGTGTCCTAATTGAGTCTTTTGTCTGTATTTTATGGATTGCAGAAGTCATGCACTCATTTCAACATTAGTCATTTTGTGACATTTACAGCCACCTGCCTTACCTTTTCTGAGTATCACAATGAAAATGCCAGAACAATGTACATTTGTCTGCCATTTTCCTCTGGACACTTTAGAGTGTTTATCTGTGTTAACCCCAGCTGTGAGCACACAGCTGTTTGTGAGCGGAGCTCCCTGGGGTAAACCTCCATCGCGCTGTTCACTCAGCCTCGCAGAGCTCTATTTGTTATCTACTCTCTCATAAGGATTAAAGTGTTTTGGCCCTGATATGACCTGTGATTGTTACGTTGTTATCCAAATCAAATATCACTCAAATGATTCAATCACTGATTGATTTGTTGTTTTATTGCTCATGATTTTTATGCTTAAGGTTTTGAGTGCAGCCCTGAGTTATTTTAAAATAAAATTATTAATTGGGTAAATCTGACTTTATTTGTGTGGATGCAGGTTCATATAAATACTATATTATCTCATCCTTACACAGTCAGGGTGAGAGTCTTATTATGTTGAATCTATTAATTATTCCCCTCTGCATGCTTTCATTTCATTTAAAGGTCTCAGCTAAGTTAATATTAAGAGTCCAGCTCTTCCAAGTTGTCATGGGATTATAAGACAACTTGTTATTTAAATACAATGAAAGCAAATTATCTTCCAGCAGTAGTAATTAAGCCTTCCTTTTACACTGTATTTATTAAGGACTTATTTTATGTTTCAGCTCTCTAAAAAAAAGGGGCTGGAGGATTTTTTATCTACCTAATTTTTCTACAAGTATTTTTTTGTTCTTCCTTTGTTTCTATGTCTTCTGTCTGAATAGAGCAATAGTGGAACCTCTCTTTTCTCTTGCAGCGCTACATGTGTTTCGCCAATCCAAGAGAAGTGAAGCCCCCCGAAGACCTCCAGGACCTTGGGGTTCGTTTCTTGCAGCCCTTCGTCAACTTGCTGTCTAAAGCTACCTACTGGTGGATGAACACGTTCATCACCTCTGCCCACAAGCGGCCCATCGACCTGAAGGTCATTGGCAAACTCCCCATTGCTATGCGGGCACTCACCAACTACATAAAGCTCCGCCAGGAATTTGAAGAGCAGAAGGTGAGCGCTTGTTGTTGAGTTTTAAATGTATTTCTTTAGTTTAGCACATAAAGATGAAGATATGGTGTTACTATTATTGTTATACTGGCATTTGAACATTAGTCAAAGAGATAATTCATCTATTTGGTTTAGGTGTGTTAAATCAAAGCACATATGTAATATGCAGGGCGGCAGGACCCTGAAGTATTGAAATGCACACCTCTGATTAAGGTCAAAGGAGGAAATATAAGCTTAGAAAAACCTTGATTTTCTTTTTCGGATTTAAAGAAATAATTTTAATGTTAGTTAAAAGGAATTCACATTCCTTGAACCTTTGAGATGAAACAGTTTTGTATATCAAGACACAAAAAGTTTTTTTTTTTTTTTTTTTTTGCAAAATAACTCATCATTCCAATGGTTTTTTGTTAGATTTTCTCAACAAATTTAGTTTTTAACACCCCAGATGATTATGTTTAATGCAGTTTGTCTGTGGTGTGCATGAGGTGACTTCTGAACCTTGCAGTCCTACTCTATTCAGCCCTTCTCATATGAAAGCAGGTCGTGATTCAGCCCAGTCTGCTGTGGGATTATTAAACTTTATTTGGACATGCAGTAAGCTTTCCAACAGTGTAAACAGGAAAATGCAATCAGGCACGTCCTGTATCTGTGTTTCCACAATGTTTCTTTTCGTTGCCGTCTGTTTATCTTAGATTATATTTCAATTTCAAAAGCTGTAGCTACATGTTGGAAAGCACTTGTCTCTTGGCACCATTTGAGGTGTTACAGGAATTTATTATTATTATTGAATTTATGTTGTTATTTTCCATTTGGTTTTGGCAGTATTTTACTCCTCCATGTTGTTGGCATATACGTAAGATGATAAAAATTAAATAAGAAAGGAGTTAGGGAGGTCTGCTCTAGCTTAGAGTCACATTTTTAATAGTGGCTGATATTTTTTTATTTTATTTTTTGCAGCTAAAATTAAAAGAAATAATAAATAACCTGAGTAAGTTTAATTCATGGCTTTGCAGCTGCATTTAGTTTCCTTTTAAAGTTATTTTGATTTATGTAGATCTTTGCTGCTTTTCCTAAAAAACAAAAATTTAACAAAAAAGTACATTTCTATCTACTGAAATGTATTGGTAATGCTGACAGACACAATTACCAGACCAATATATTGTATGAAAGCATTATATAGTAAAAAAAGAACAAATTTGGTTGTAAATTTGAGCCGTTTCTTTCTCTCTGAAATAATTGATTTCACTTTCAGCCATTGCTGTTCTACATAGAACTCAATCTTCACAGGTTTTTAAAACCAGTACCAATACAGATTATTTTGATAACAGTCTAACCAAACCCTGTTCCTGAATTTTTGGGTCGATTCTAGAGGTTGATATTGCTTTTTCTTTATTTACATTATGAAAATGACACAATAATAATAAATGTCACATAAGTCTCAATCTAAACGAAAAAAATAATGGTATTAACTTGTCATATGCAAAACTTTAAGAGTGGATAGCAGATAGAGGGAGCAGCAGAGTGAGCCTTGTGTGATCTCAAAGCATGGCTTCTAAATACACTAATGAATTGGTGAATGCATGATCGTTTTGGTCGATACTAATTCAAGAAAATAAACTGTTATCTGGCTTAGGTACTGTATTAGCTCGCCGATATATCGGTCTATCGCTAGTCCTAGATTTTAATATTGCTTGCCTTATGCTTTTCTTCTTTTACTAATCTCTGGGGGTTCCCTGCATCTTTAGAGCGTGTATCACGGGTCAGACATAAAGGGCCTCCTCTACAGGGTCGTTGTTTTCCAGTGTTTGTAAGTTCATACGACAGTCGTCACTGCTGTGTGTGCGTCCGGTGTGACCGCTACTCCGTTTCCTTCCGGCAGGAGTGAGTGATGAGAGAAAGAGACTGAGAGATCCCAGTGGAGTGGCGGGGAAGGGCGGCGGCGGCAGTTTCAGTTAGAGGAGGTCTTAAGACGCTGGGTCATTCCCACTCATCTGTGAACGAGGTGACATCTCGACCCCTGAGGGGCTTGGAGCTGGGAAGCTAGTTTCCCTTAGAGAGTGGGAGAAGGGAACAGAACCCATCCTAGCTGTTTGAACCTGGGATAGAAGCACAAGATGTGTCTCTTTGTGCGTAGCTGTGATGCGCTCTGTGACATGTGTTACGTACGCAAACTGACTCTTTGTAGGAGATGAATGGAAAAATGGAGACCCAGGGTAGCAGTCACGTCTGTTCTCACAGATACGAGCATGACTCACTCATCTTAACACACACACACACACACTAGTACAAGTCAGAAGTTGGGTTTATGAAATGTTCAGTTTCAAATGATACATACAGGGTCAAATCTTTACATGTATCTGGATTACAAGAAAATACAAATTTTTTTTTTTGGTAATGATCAGAAAGCTTGGGGCTGATTTCTGGCTGAGCGTCCATTCAGGCATAAATTAAATTCTGCTTTTAAGTATTGCCCAAATATTTTCTAGGTGGCTGAGGTTGGTGAAATGCTATTAGCTTAATAGTGTCCTTCTTAATCCATTCCAAAGTTTTTTGTGTGGTTGGGGTTAATATGCTGTTGGAACAACAATAAATGCGTGCAACTTTTAACCATCTGGAAAAACTGTTTAGATGAAAGGAAATGTGTTAGAATGATTAGGAACGAGGAACTATTAAGAGTTGAGGCTAATATGAATAAAGACAGCTGAGATACCAGGGTCAGTGTCTACAGTGGAACTAGCCTAACCCTGACCAAGAATAAAGCTTCTTATTAAGGCTTGACTGAAATCTGCTATTGCCAACATGGATGATATCATCTTTAGACAATTCATAGTTGAATTTGTTACACTTACATGAATACTGCTTCGAGGTTCTGTGAGAGGTTTTCAGTTCGATGCATTTTTTTCCCAATGTTCCTGCACAGATATTAATGTTTATTTACTCACTCTTATATTTTTCTTATTTAATCATGCTTATATTCTCCTTTTTTTAATCTCATGGTTAACCAGCTATTTATCTTATACCATTTTCTTATACAATTTAATCAATAACCACAGTTTAGTTCTGATATTTGCCTTCTTCTTTAGCTGGAGAGTTTAACTTATAAAATTTCCTTTTTCATATTAATTAGTCTTGTGTGTACTTGTAATCATTTGCTGTGTCTACGTGTTGCATGTTTCTTTTGCAGTTATTTTCTATTTCATTAATTAGGACTTTATTGTCTTTGCTGAGAACCTACATCAACACACTGCATAAATAGATTAAAATGAAGCTGGACTGGCCAATAAGCCCTGACTTCAATCCTAAAAATAACTGTTAACTATCCTGAATTTTGGTTCCAGGGTCAAAAACAACCTGATCTAAATTAACTTAAAATAATTTAAAAGGATACAGAATCTTGATGGTGGCAACAGATGTGGTTTTGTTGCAACTTGCTAAAAGACTTTTTAGTGAAATGACAGTGAAGAAGTACATTGTTAAAACTTTCATGTATAATTTTGACCCCATGGATTTGAGAAAAAGCACAAGAAATGTAAACTATTGCACCAATATAGTGTTTTCAAAAATAATGATTCTGTTGTATTAACAACAAGCTTTAGAATAGTCCAAGCAAACTATTAAAGAAAAACTGATACAAAGTTTTGCAGAGATGAGTGTGAATGTCTGATCTGAGTTGTGTCTTGATTAAAATTTCTCAATAGTTTCATTTAGCATGCCAATACCTTTGATTTTAGATCATTTCAAGAATTTTGCGTGTTATTTCTCTTCTTTAGAAGCCTCAGGGTATTGCTCCCCAAGGTCCAAAGTGGATCTGGCTGGCTTTGAGGAAAGCCTTTGGCAGGCCTCTCATCCTCAGCATCACCTTCCGCTTCATGGCAGACCTGCTTGGCTTTGCCGGGCCGCTTTGTATCTCTGGCATCGTTCACCACATCAGCAAAGACAATCGTACCATCCAGCAACCGGTAAGGGTTCTACCAAATTATTATCAGGGACCAGAGCAACAGAACTGACAGAAATAAATAGAAACATTTTAAATAACTGATAAACAAAATAGATTTTACAGATTTGGTAAATTTTTAATCGCAAGAACACAAAAGGCTGAGACTTTCTGCAGCAGTCCCATTTTGGTGAGCCACCAAAGATGTCCTCTTTATTCCTCTATGTTCTGATGTGCACTAACGCAACCCCTTTCAAATATTTATGAGACTCATCGCTGCTGGAGCTCTAATAGCTTTTTAGATTCCTTGAGCTGCAGGCTAAGACATTTTTCTGGACCAAAGAAGCATTGCGTATGTGTCCAAAGAAAGCAGATGTGAGCTGCAATATAAAAATTCAATTATAGAACCATAAAAGAGCTCTTAACTCAATCAAAGTACTTTGTCAGTGTAGCACCTCAGTTTAGAAGAGGAGCTGAAAAGTAGATCTGCTGCAGATTATGAGAGTTTATCTCTTAGAAAAAAAGAAAATATGGGATATTGTTGACTTGTGGGATATGTTAACCAGTCATCAATAATAGAGTATTGAGAATTACCTCTACCTAAGGCAGGTTTGATTAAACATTAAGCGATATAGCCTGTCAATCTTCTTAATGAACTGTTTGCATTTGTGTGTAAAACTCATATAAGAAGCAATGTTGTTGAAACTGCCTTTGAGCTTGCAGATTCACTAACAATGAGGAATTCATCCATTTTATATCTCCCTCCTGTGATTCCAGACGAAGCTCCTCGGCATTTATTTCATTTCGTCCAAAGAATTCCTGGAGAATGCATACGTGTTGGCAGTGCTGCTCTTCATCGCCCTTCTCCTCCAGAGGACCTTCCTCCAGGTCTCCTACTATGTGGCCATTGAAACTGGAATCAACTTGCGGGGAGCCATACAGGTGAGATTTCTGGGAGATCAGCTGATCCTGAGCCCAAATTTTACCTTGATATACCTTCGAAATCTGAGGGTTTCTCAAACACTAAACACCCAAAATGAGCCACTAAGAGTTTTCATTCTCAGCCTTTCTCATTTAGAAAACATCCTCTAAGTCATTTAGTCGTATTATGATGTCCTTTGAAAATCATCACTAATAGTAACAGTTAAATTTTGAGTGTAATCTAGTTCATCTGGAAATGGGATTAAAAACTCGATATAATTTATTCTCCTTTGTATCTATCTTTTTCTTGATGCATCATGGCTCCTTGAATAACTTTGTATTGATTGTTAAAGTAAAATTTTTTTTATTTCTCTCTGGTTTTGGACATTCACACTGCTGGGTTTATGAAATATTCAAAATCCCACTTTAAAATAATGCTTTATTTTGGCTTTTAATGGGACTTTATGGAAGTCTTGTCACATCTTGGATAGTTGGTTGTTTGTAGTACTTTTACTTAACTTTATTGCGATACTTTGTTTTTATATTTTTATTTTATTTAGGCTGATCCTTTTATTGATTTATACTCTTTCCTGTTGTAGTTTATTGCTTTCTAAGGCTGTAAAACTGAAGTTTTTCACAATATCTGACAGGCTCCACAATAAGTTGCCTTTGTCACTGTTTCTGTGTGATATCTGACAGCGATTCACACCTGAGTTTGGTTTCATATGACCAGTTGACCTTCTTCCACATATTTCTGTGTTTGCAGCTTATGAAAAGCTATGAACTGGACCTCCTCTCTTTTAGAAATAGTTTTTTTCTTAAAAAAGAATTACAAAGCACAGAGTTCTGGAGGGAAGAACTGACCCCTGTCCTCTCAAAAAATTCCCCCACCTGTAGCCGGCCATGTCTTTGGTTTGCAGCTGTGATGTTTTTGATAATGAACCCTGCTTTAACCTTATTCTGTTCTCTAAAAAATGAACTCTCTTAGGCCTTCAAAGAGCAGCTGAATTTATTCTCAGATTAAACTGCCAATAGTTGGACTCTAGGTGACTTTTGAAGACAATTTCCTCACTGGGTTTCTTTAAAGCTTGAAGAGGCTGAATATAAATGCAATTTTCTTTCATCCTTCTGTTTTCCTTGCATCATCTTGCAGCTTTCTGCCGCTCTGTGTTACTCTGTTAAGATAAAAAAATCTAAGCTAAATTATTCATATTTTTTTAATTTAATATGATGTAAATTGTTAATTTAGGGGTTAGAAATACCTCAAGGAACCTGAAGTACGTTATTTGATGAAATTATCATTTGGGTTAACATGACATATCATTTTGTTAAACATCTTTATTTTTCTTCCAGACAAAAATCTACAATAAAATCATGCGCCTGTGCACGTCCAACATGTCCATGGGAGAGCTAACTGTCGCTCAGATCTGTAATCTGGTTGCCATAGATACCAACCAGCTCATGTGGTTCTTCTTCCTCCTTCCTAACCTATGGGCCATGCCAGTACAGGTAGGAAACATGGTTTCCTTTTGTGTGCGTGTTGTATGCATTTGCAGTGCATTTTCCTTTGGCTCTGTCCAGCACAGCAGCAGTAGGCAGCCTCTGTTATTAGCACAACATTTGTGGTTATATTGCTGTAAATATAGCTTGTGATTTTTTTGTGTGGCATTTTACATCATCTGTCCCTTTTGGTCTTTTCTAAGCTTTGCTATAACAGTACTATATTTTGCAAAGGATTCTGTTGTTACACCAAATGTTGTTATTGCAAGTTTTATCTATTTTCCAAATCTTCATGTGTCGATTTATTTGATCTTATAGGATTCACTTAGCAAGTCTTTTAATAACGAGGTAGAAGAAGCATTGTATGCTTAGAGGTGTGAGGATGAGAAAACTAAACCTGATTGTTGAGTCCTATGGTCGCAGCTGGAGTTATACTAATTTACCTCATCTGTGTGCGGTCCATTAGAAAGCTTTTACTTCCTCTTTGAAAGGTTTTTCACTGTAAGGGTTGTGAGATTAATGATTGCCTTAATTAGTTATTATCTATATTTCTCTCATAGGTGTAGAAAAAAAAATTGTGTTGTAAATACCTGCTGAGTCTTTTCCTTCCCACATCAAATGAAAATGTTTTATTACATACAATTATTGCACATTAGTATATCTGCTAATATTCTAACGCCTGACAAGTGTTCATGGTGTTTAATATATGAATCCATTAGTTTTTAATATTTCATTTTTATGGAAGCTGATTTTGTCTTACAAGCATTATTTGTTAAACTTTATGCTGTTTATTAATGTACTATGGTTAAAAAAATAAATTATTCTTGTAAAATTATGCTTTCAGTAAATTCAGATAGTTACAGAAAAGCTTTTTTATTTTTATTTGATTTGGTGAAGCATATTATTTAGAGTAATTCCACACAATCTGATATTTTCAAGCCTTTTTTCTGTCAGTGATGAGTTTCTTTCTCCTCACTAGTCAGATCAAATATGCTAAACTTATAACATGTTTTTTCTTCAATTGCTACAACCCTTAGCAAATATCCTGGAATCCCAACTTTTGGAAGATGTTCTTTACTAAAGCAGAAAAAAAAATATTCACATACAGGATACAAAACCAGGGTAATTCTAAGCAGCAACAAACACTAAAATAAATCAAGAAGAACCATCGTGGTGGTCAGTAACAATCACTTTCAGTAACAGTCACTTTTTGGCTCAAGAGGAGGGAAAAAATATGGAATCACTCAATCAAATGTGAAATCATTAAAAAAACAAACAAGTGAAAGAAGACTTTGTCACAGCACTTGTACTTAGAACCGCTTCTGGCTTTTATAACAGTAAATCATGGACTCAATGAGTGGCAGACTGATGTTTTGATCAATCTTGCTCTAACTTTCACTAGTCGCCTTTTTCAGATCAGCTTAGGAGGATTGAACCTTGTCACGGACCATTTTCTTTAAATTCCACCACAGATTTTCAATTAAATTGGGTTCTGGACCATTTGCAGGCCATGACATTTACCTTACAGAATGTGTCATTCTTCGAGGAAGGTTTTTACGGTATGGCAAGATATGCTACCATGATGAAAAAATATTTCATCACCCCCAAACATCCTTTCGGTTGATGGGATAGGAAATGTGTCAAAAAACGTTCATGTAAACTCAGGCATTTATTAAAGATGTAATGAAATCCATCTCCCCAGTTCCTTTCTCTGACATGCAGCCCCATATCATCAATGAATGTGGAAATTAGTCTGTTTTCTTCAGGCAGTCTTATCTATCTCATTGGAACTGCATCAATTGCTTTTCCTTACCCGACAGTAAAGTTATTTTCCTTCTGTGTAGGTGTTACTGATGGCTTACATTTAGAGTAAGTCCTATTTCCTTTAGGTGTTTTCTAACAGTTTCGGCATAAACTTTGTTTCCAGTTTCTTACCATTCGTTCCTCATTTTTGTTGTGGATTTTCTGTTTTCAAGACAAAGCTTTAAGTGTTTTGATGTCTTCCTTAATTTACCAATATCTCTGTCTTTATTAACCTCCCATTTTGTTTGTTCTTGGATGAAATAGTTTGGACACAGCAAACGGTTAACAACCAACAACTTTTGCAACATTATGTTATGATTTACCTTCTTTGAGAAATGTGATAATCCTCTCTTTTGTTCAATTGCCATCCCTTGTGTTAATGCCATGATTCATGTCAGTCTTCGTGTTGCAAATGCTCTCCAAGCCGTAATCACACTTTTCTAACTGCAGACTAATGAGCAGGCCTAATATGATGAAGGTGCTAGTTTTTGGAATGGAAATTTGATTAATGATTTCATACTGTTTTTCCATATGATTACGTGATTCCATATTTTTCCCCAAAGCTTGATCAAAAAAAAAGAAAAAAAGACTTTCACTGATAACCACAATATCTTGTTTTCTTTTAGTGTTTCTTAAAGCCACGACTCTGAATAAACATCCTCCCAGACTGCTAGATCTATAATTTTTTGTCAGGGGAAATACAATATTATAGGTTGAGAATATTACATCAGACCAGTGAAAGATATTTCTTGATAAAGAAACGTAATCATAATGAAAAGTTTTGTTTAAAACACATTCAAAGGTTATTTTTAAAAAGTACTTTCATACAGCAGAGAGATAGATAGACATGGACCTTTAACTTATAAAGATTATATTATTCTGAAGGGATGTTTAGTTCAAAGTTTTTTCGGTCATTTAGGATTATTTAGGAAAAGTAATTTAAGGATTACGAGAAATGAACTTAAAATATGCATGCAGCCATGAAAATGATTAGAACATCAGAATTCATTGATGTGGTTTTGTGACCAATTGTTTTGGCAATGTAATTTAATACAATACTTCTCAGTAATACATAGTTTGTTCCACTATGTTTATTCACCAATGATATTCAAATATCTCAATATCTGTTAAACAAATAACTCCACATCTCATAAATATAGATCTGACTTACTATTATTTAGAAATAGACAATGCATAAGCAAAATCATGTTTTAGGCCAATATTAGAGTTTTTTCTTTTTATATGGGTATCAGCTGAGACATGCATTCATTGGCCGATTCATTGGTGCATTCAGCAGCCATGCCTTAAGATCACATAAAGGACATGCATTGCTCCTTGTTCTGTTGGCTCCCCTTTGTTAATTTTTGTGTAGTTTGTTATTAAATGTTTTTTATTTAACATTTTCTATAACTGAGTAATTATTATCATGTAAAGATGGAGAAAAAGCAGTATAAGGTCTAACACTCATCCCAAAAAATTGGCACCAACTATCAAGGATTGATCAGGCTGATGTGAATATAATCGGGATCTATACCAGCCCTAAAAAACCCCCCCCAAAAATAGGTCAATCTTTTCTACTGTTGCATTAGTATTCAGATAGTGTCCAAATTCAGAATCTAAACAAAAAATTTCAGGAAAATGCAGGATGCATCTTTCCTTACAGAGTAGGGCTGAAACATTTGATCTGATTAATCGTGATTAATCCAGGATTAAAATAATTTTTAACAAATGTATTAATTTATTTAACAGTAACTGGAGTATAGAGACTCTAAAACATTCCTTTGGCTGACAGAGCAATCCAAAAAGAACGAATAATTAAACCGAAATTGTAAAAAAAAAAACTAAAAAAAACCCAATAATAATTGGTTTTAACATTGATAACCCCCCTCAAAATAATAGACAGATTAATCGATTAGCAAAAAAATTGTTAGTTGCAGCCCTGAATAGGAGCTTCTATCTGCTGGCCTTCGCATGCTTCTCTGACATAGAGGTTAGCTCTGTAGAGAGAGCTGCTGTAATGTTTCTAATATGTTCCTAATATACTTTACACATTGTTTCAAAATGAGACATTGATGGTTTAATAAAACTGCAATTTATTATTCTCAAAGGGAAACTAAGTGTGATTGTATAGGGATTCCTTCAATGAGTTGTTGCAGATGGTGATGCCTATAGGCTGGATGGATCTCCCTATGCAGCCTGTTTAACAGTGAACCTGGAAAAATCAGCCAAACAGCCAGACAGACAGGTAGAAAAAATTAAAAGACATTATATATAAAATATATAAATATTTTAAAGTAAAATGTTAATTGGTTCATGAAAGTTTAGTTGAATTTCTTTAAAGTTTAATTCTAAGTTAGAGTTTAGTCAGAGTTTAACATTTAAAACTTCTTTAAAATATTAAGGGTTTTTCACTGCTCTTGTTAAAAAGAACAAGTATACTGAACACTCATTTACAAACAATTAATTTTCATCATCTATCAAGCCATACTTTAAATGGTACAGCAACAGTAATAAACAGCTTTTCAAAGACATCTTTTCTGAGCAAAAACATTTCTAATGTCTCTTCATCACCACCATTTGGGTTTTGATCTCAAAAATCCCCTTTTAAAAATGATGATTCAAAGTCCTTTTATTATTTGTTTTGAGTTGTTATTATTTATAACCAAAAATAACTTTGCTAGAACATATTTATTTTCCAAATCAAAAGAATTCAAGACAACATAGTATGTTCAAAGGCAAAAAAATAATAATCTTTATTATTTTTGTTAGCAAATATGCAGAAGATTATTAGGCCCATGGATGTTTGGCATTGATGCTGCTGCTTTGTTTCTGCATGAAGTTGTTTAAAAACCACAGCCAGCCATGAAACTACATTTAAAATTTCTCTGTTGAGAAAATCTGCTGGAAACAACAATTTTCACCAAACAGCAGCTAAGCTGGCATTAAGTGTAATTAGAAAGAACTCAGCAAATGAAAGAACACATGAATCAACCAGCACTTCAAGAAACATCTGCGTCACATCTGTCAAAGGCACTTAGCCTGAGAGTATTGAATATGTTACAGCAACATAAGTGTTTATCCTCTGTGTTCCCCTGTCTGCTCAAACTTTAAATGAATCCAAATTGAACTTTTCTAACTTCTGCTGGGAAGACAGTTGAATTTAATCAGAGATCTTTGATGAGTTAGGAATTTACTCCCACTTTTCATCACAGCCAACTTGAAGTGCAAAAGCATTATGGTTGGTATCCCATCATCCTTGGCGTTGTTAAAATTGAACTACAGAATTGCTGCCCCATGAAATGGCCACTCAGGAAACCTATTAAAGGCCAAATGGTCCAAATCTTAGTGAAGGGGATAAGTTTTTAATCTGTTGTTGCTTCAAGTCAAAACTTGTTTCAGAGTTTTAATAAAGTCACCATTGGTGACTATCTTTTGCACAGGTTGCACAGGTTGACGTCATCCAATATCAATGTGTGCATTTCCCATAAGTTTAGCTATGTCTCCAAAAGCATGGATAACATTAAAGGAGATAGAAAGTATATCTATGAGAGTTCAACAAAGCTGTAGAAAACTCATCAGCTGGACAAGTATGTGCTCCTTTCAACAAGAAGCCACAGTATGAGAAGTGTAGGAGTCAAACAAGATGGCTCCTAGCAGTTCTGGGTCAAGAATCTATCTGACTAAACAATCAGAAGTATACGTAATGATGGTGTCCTCAAAGCCTGACCTCTGCTGGGCCCTGAGCTCACTGCTTGTCTGCTTGAAGCCTGACTATCAGTTTATTTGAAATACTTTGATCTAAAGCCCGTCTCTATGGGTTATACTGTATAGCCTATACAAAACATGTTTATTACCAGTCTATTACATTTCTTGATAATGAAATTATTATCATTACATGACAATAAAATTTCACCTGCTACGTTTTGCCTATTTTAGTCACCTCTCAGAATAAACTGTTTTAGAGCTCTGTCACTTTTATGCATATAAGCTGTAGCTGACTAAACGCCCTGACTTAATGTCTACACTCTCACTTTATACACATAAGAATGGCTGCAAACAGATGCACAACCATACAATTAAATCCCTGAGTCAGACCCAGTAGAAGAGGTGGAGCCTCCTGCACAAACAGCAAGGATGCAGCAATGTAGTGTATTATTGGCATTATATTGGGCCAAATGATAAATGATGTTCTTGCCAAACAGAAATACAAGACAATCAAGACAAACCATTGTGTACTTATATCTCTGTCATCTGCAGTATGCAGTAGGAAAAAAGATTCCTTTCAGTCAAAAAGCACAGAAGAACAATCTGTAAAGATGACCCCAAAAAAGAAAAAAAGCTGAAAGCTTATATGCCCAACTCTAAATTTACAGGTTTTAACTAATTACCTTTAATAAAGAAAATACATTGGAATTTTTCTAGAAGTAGTAGGGACACATATGGAAGTAAAAAGAAGCATGCAATAAGTGAGTTTAGGACATAATATCAGTGAGATAAAGTGAAGTAAATAAAACAGAAGTTTTTCATGATGGAAGGTCAAAATCTATTTGAGGATGGAGGGTTGTATTCATGAGTGGAAGCAGAACCCACTGGTACTTCTGCTACATGACACCAACCAGAATCATGTGGCAAGATTATGCAGGAGGATGAATTAGCTGATACCAATCACTGATCCCCTTGCTTGCGTAACTATTTGAATCCCCAGATCTGTTGGGATATTATGTGTCGGTATATCTGATGCCTGCAGGTCTCATCTAAGCCATCTCTAGCTCAGCAACTTGTCCAGTTCAGCCAGCATTTTTAAAAAGTGGCTTCATATTTTCAGGCATGCTTTTCAGACATCTGTAAACCAGAGTACACAACATTTTTCTTGTCTTTGGTTAGCTTTCAGTAAAATTATGTTTTGCATTGATCAGTTTGTCATTCCTTTGAGCAGTGTGCATTATAAGAAGCTCAGATAAAATGTTTGACATTCAGGTTTGACAGTAAATTTCTGACAATATCTTTCCAAATAGACCATGACCGTTAACCCAAACCAACAAGGACCTTATTTGAAATCCATCATTTCTAATATCATAAGATTCTCATTGATTTCTTTCCTTGCTATGAAAAGCTTTGATATTTGCAGTAAGGATGAAGAGTACACAACATCCTCACGTTTTTGACCTAAACTGAAATGCAAGGACCGTCGTCTCACATCCCCTTCCGCTCCCTTCCTGGAGCATTTTAGCAATGGAGACATTTGTCTTGATATTTGCCAAGATCAATATCTGTGTTGCTGAGGGGAAAATATTATAAATTGAATAAAAGGGTAGGATTTGGAAAAATGACTCTTGAAGATGGAACTTCCTGCTAATTAGATTGCAAACTACGGTAAACAAAATAAAATGCTGTCTTGTCTACTGTATGATTTCAATTTTTCTTATATTTAAACATAACAAAAGTACGATAGATAAGAAAATTTGTCTGTTTGTATTGGATCTGCCTTTACATGTACATGGGTCTAAAATAGGAACAATGTAAGGCCCACTACCTCAATTGTCAAGAGGTTTAGATTTAGATTTGTTCCCCTTAAAATAATCTTAAAAATCTCTAGGGAGAGCTCCTTGCTTTTATCTTGCTCATTGGGGACCCTGGTAGCATGAAGCTCTCTGGTCTGAAAGCATTCTTGCCTTTTGAAAAGCTGCTCTCGGTCCTGAGTGTGCTGTGTAGTGTGAACCTTTTTAAATCAGGTTTCTATAATGTGAGAAGCTGACAGACAGTGAGTGGGGGTTGGTGGTCGACATGACTGTCTCAGCCGAGACGAAAAGAATATCAGCTACCTTGACCCTAGTAGTACGCATTATGTTGTCAGCGATGACAGGAGGGGGTGAGGCATCGCATTTATCTCCATCTGGTTTTATTTCCTTTTTCTGAAGTCAAAATGCAATAAAAATAGACTTAGACAACTTTTATTGTCATGGTCACAAAATGAAATTTTGTTTTCTACAGCTTTCAGACAATAAATGAGCAGCAGCTTAGCAATGAAAATAGTTTGATTAGTCTGTGATTATTGTAATTAGAGTCATGCCTCCCTTTGCATGTTTGTTCCAATGTAAAAAGCTATGCTAATTTAATGTTGCTTCCTGGGATCCGTTAAGTGGTTGCAGCTCTTTTCAATACATGCAGACATGAATTAAAGAGCACGTTCAATCAGATTGTACAGAACAGGATATAATAAACACTATCTGCTGTTTATTACTGATGTTAACATTTATTAAATCTTTGCTCCAGTGGAAAAAATAAATAAACAATTGATTTCAGAAGATAAAGGATGATTGAAGTTGAGGGTAAAATGGAATCTATCCTTCATTGCTGTAGAGGAATTTAAATCCTTTCTTCTTTCCTCATTATGTCCGTGACCCAAATCCTGCCAAGCTTTAATTGTAATAATAATAATAATGAATTTTATTTATAACGCACTTTACATTTGACATCAAATCTCAAAGTGCTACAAAGTGCTACATTTAAAAAACAGAAAATTAAAACAAGTTTAAAAGACCATAACATTAAAAACAGTGTAAAAAGACAATCATTAAAATCAATACATTAAAAGGCATACGTAGCCTATTAAAAAAAATTAAAATCAACAATTGTAGGTATTTCTAAAAAGGAAAGTTTTCAATCCTTTCTTAAAACAATCCACCGTCTGTGGGGCCCTAAGGTAGTCTGGGAGGGCATTCCACAGACGGGGAGCTGCGGCTTCGAAGGCCCTGTCGCCCATAGTTTTAGGCCGTGTCCTAGGTGGGGCCAGACGGTGCTGTTGGCCTGACCGGGTCAACAGCACCGTCTGACTGATGGGCTCACATATTTATTAGCACATATCTGTACCTACCATTTTAAAATGGTAGGTACAGATGAGTCTATCCAATCTCTGAAAAGCACCAGGTCCTGTGTGCAAAATAAGCCTCTAGTGGTGCCGGAACTCAGTGAGAATTTATATTTGACATCTCTGTCATTATTGGTGTTCTGTTCCCCTGGCATTGAGGAAACGAGCACCTCAATCATTTTATCATAATAGCCACAGATGATAACTGGTTAAAGGTATTGTGATTTTTTTTTAAAAGACCGCCTTTTCACTTAAAAAAAAAAATGCACATGTACAACCCTGTACCTGCTACCAAGAGGGATTGCTGCACGCTCTGTTTAAAGTTGCTTTTCTCATAGCTCATACAAGCTTGCTGTGTCCAAACGTCTGCCCTAAACCCCCCTAACCCCTAAACCCCTCAATCACTATATAGAGGGATTTGGACTCTAGTGGACTCTATAGCAAACTCAGTTAACTGACTGTTCAGACAGATGATCACTACTTTGGCTCCCTTGTTGGTCACGTAACTTCTCCTCCACCGCGCGGCACCGGCGCCATCTTTGTTATTAGTCGACGCTGTCTGGTAGCGACAACCTATGGTGACAGCGGGCTGCTGTGACAGCAAATCCCATGATGCTTTGCAAGGAGAGCTCTCCACGTAAAGTATTCCGGGATATATCTGCCTCTTCTAAGGCATTTCTTTACTTCTCATACACTTTGTAGACACCTGTTCTTTTACGACTCTCTGAAAATTTTCAAAGAACCGCAGTGAGAAAGGTGAGCTTCAATGACTGTCTGAAACCATAGCACACCGTAGTCACCACAGATATAGCTACACTTGAAAGTAAGCATGCGCAGAAAAACAGAGCTACCTGGGGACGAGCACATAGGATGACCTTAAACAGAACCAGAATGATTGACAATTAGGAGGATCACCTATTTTGATGATCCATCCAGAAAAATCCTCCACTATATCGTTAATTTGACAAGTAGCATCTGGCCACCTTTTAAAAATCCAGTTCATTTCATAAATAATGGCAGTACAAAATATAGTGTGTTTTTTTTTTCATTTCAAATCATTTTACCGCCACTGGCAGACTAGCTCATTTGATATTTCCCCGGGCTGTTTTTCTGTCCTATTTTTAAAGCCTGAGCAGCATTGTATTACCTGTACAATGCTGCATTTGTTATGTGGTAGGTTCCAAACATCTATAGGCACTGTGCATTAATATGGTTGCTATAGGGCATTGACAAAGAAACTTCACTGAAAAAGTATGCTTCCTTCTCCTTCCTATTAATATTTTATATGTGTGTGTGTTTACCTGTCAGATAATCCTGGGGGTGATCCTTCTCTACTACCTCTTGGGAATCAGTGCCTTGATCGGAGCCACCGTCATCGCAGTATTAGCTCCTGTTCAATACTTTGTGGCCACAAAGCTGTCACAAACACAAAAGAATACCCTGGTGAGTAATTTTGTTGGGAGTGCTATCTCCTGCTGTGCTTTGTTTTGGTCTATACAACAGCCAGAAATGACCTATTCTTCCCTCTAGATTGGTGTGTTTTCAATTTTACTAATAAATGTATTTTCACCTCTTGTTGTGCTTTTTAGTTTTCCTCCCTTTGGGTTATTGGTGGTGTTAGATTGTTTTATTTTAGCATTCAAAAACATTTGGAGTTGACTGAAATATTTTATTTTAAACTTTAAAAAAGCATTAAATATAAAGAAAAAATAGTTTCACACAGGAAAATATGTTACTTGATGTCAGGATTTTGATTTGATTGATTAGGTCAAAGAAATTTTACCTTTAAGAAAATTGTAAAGACAATCTTCAAAGGAATATAAAAAATAGACACCAGATAGGGTGATAATTGCTCAGCTTTTTAGGGAAAATCTTCTGCATTCGCAGACATTTTTAAACAAATATAATCATATCTGACTTACAAAAAAAAATAAAAAATATTTGCAGCTAAAGCCAGGTGTTTGCATAAACTGACATTAAAAGACATATTAATGAGTGGTTCTCATTTAGCAGCATTAAATGAGACCAAATGTTTGTTTTACGATTGGCAAAATTATTCTTAATTGATGAGCCGAAAAATATAAATATAACCCATGTTTACAAGTAGCTGTAAACATGGTTTATCTATGTGGAAAACCCAGTTGGTTCCAAGCTTTAACTACCTGCCTGATGTCCTCAGATGCTGCCATCTATTTGGTGAAGTGCACTCAACCGTCTTTCAGACAAACTGCCCCCATTGTTTAGCACAGCCACCCTGTACATCACAGCTGGGATGCTGTTTTCAGGCTTGCCAGCATCCCTCTTTTTCCTACAAAAGAAAAGGAAAAAAAAGGGTCAGTAATCCATTTTAGTTTCATTGGATCACTGGACATCTATTATGTTGAAAATGACGGTGTTTGTCCAAGAGTACACTTTGAAACCGTAATCTGGGTTTGTTCTCTTACTTCTGGAGTAATGGCTTCGTTCTTTCAGCCAATGATTGTTGAGACCTTTTTTCACTTCCTTACTCTCTTCATGACTGGACATATCCAAGTTATTACATTAGCTTATATTGGATTTAATATTTTAAGAATGAATATAGCCCCTTCAGCCTTCATAAAAAAGTTTCACTCAAGGATAAACTGGACTTTTGAAGGTCAGCGGTTCTTTTGCTAATATCTTGGCTGGTTGCTTTTGATTTTTTGCACTGAAGGAATCAATAAGTTTAAGGTGTTGCTTATAAAAGACATCTGCATGTGCATCTCCATCAGAGGTTATAGAGCCTGAAGATCATCGTCTGGGGTTTTTGAAATTATTTTAAAGGAATAGCAATCTTAATGTTTATAAACATCTGACATTTTAAAGTGAATAAGAAAAATTTTAAAACTTACATCACAGCTTTGATTATTAAAAATCAGAAATACATTTGGCATCAAGCCATTTTCCGTGCAAAAATGAAGTTTAGTTGTAGGTTTACAAAACAAAGAAAAGTTGTACCGTACATAAAAAAATCAATCTTACTTCAATTATTCCCACTGTTTGAGTTCCCCTGTTGTTGCTCTTACCCTCATCAGGGCTGTGTATCCTTGACGCATCACTTAATTTCAACTTCCCACTTTCAGGAATACTCCAGCGAGCGCCTGAAAAAGACAAATGAGCTGTTGCGTGGCATCAAGCTGCTGAAGCTGTACGCCTGGGAGCACATCTTCCGAGACAGCGTGGAGGAGACGAGGGGCAAGGAGCTCAACAGCCTTCAGGCCTTCGCCCTGTACACATCAATATCCAGTACGATTTCAGAAACCATTACTGTTTTTAAAACAAAATGTGCAGATTCAAATCAATCATATCTGAACAATTGCAAAAAACTTAGACTCTTTTTTTTTATTTGTACATTATTTAATTTCCCATTCATCAGTTACATAAAATAAGAACTGCTCTTAATTGGTTATTAATTTCCCCTTCTTTTGTTTGACCATCTTTATGGACTATCATATTTTAAACAACAGCAGCAGCAGTCTGCTTGGCTCCGGTTCAGTTATAGACTATTTTCTTAATCTACAATCAATTACTGCAAAGGAAGAGCACTCAAAATCATGCTGGGATAATTAGTTAACATAGAAAAAATATAAAAATTGGATAACAATCCCTGAAACTAACTCTTGTCATTTTTAAAGAAAAATATGTCAGGTTCCCAGAAATGAACTCTCTTCGTTTTGTAAAAATTATGTCTCCAGGGATACAGAAAATCAATGAATACAACATTAATTTGAAACTATGATTATAATTAAAAAGTAAAATCTTAAAAACTATAAACCATTTATCTACATATTTGATAGTGTTTCTAACCATTGCATTTCTATTTGTCTGTTTTGTATGAGTTAGATTAAATCTACAGGATCTTTTCTGCCTTATATTGTGTGTTTTACTTGTTAATCCTGAAAGTCTTCACATCCTAACCCCTTTCTTCCTGCTTGCAGTTTTCATGAATGCTGCTATCCCAATTGCAGCTGTGCTGACGGTGAGTTTTGCTGCATCTGACAACAACTTAGCATAGTGGTGTACTTAGTCAGGACTTAACTGTTGAGGGTTTGCCTTGTAGTGAAGTAAGAACAGCTTCTGAATGTTAGAAAGCATTTCACAACCTGACAGCCTCGTACTAAATCCTTCCTGTTTTAATAGAAGTCCTTCAAGGCTCGAGAAAATCAGAAAAGGCATAGAAACGCATGTGGGGAGGGTGACTCTGAGGGACAAACAATCCATCTCTGATTCGATCCACTTTTAATAGATGACACCTATCTGTTTGCCTCTAAGAGTTTTTGCCTTGAACTGGTCTCACCTGACTGTCAGTTTCAGAGATGTAAGCTTATTTATTTGCAGACTAACCTTTGACATTTTATCCATACTGTGGTTCTGCAGACATTTGTTGTTCACGTCCACATTTCTGAAGATGCAGACCTGTCCCCAGCTGTGGCCTTCGCCTCGCTGTCTCTCTTCCACATCCTGGTCACCCCTCTGTTCCTCCTGTCCAGTGTGGTGCGCTCCACCGTCAAGGCCCTCATGAGGTGAGAGACGGCGAAAAGGTTCAGCTTGTTTATACTTGTGGTTTAAGCATTTATCAGTAATAAATGTCTGGGGACAGAATCGCTGAAGGGGCAGTTAAACTGCAAACCACCTGAGAATGAGCAGAGGACAGGAAAGCAGCCTGATTAGATGAAGCACTTGACCTTTTTCCTGCAGCAGATGGAGCAGCCTCGTTATTGAATCGTGTAACTAACACCATTGCTTCTCCCCTGTTTTGTTTCTATGACCCTAAGATTTTTTTTGTTTCATTTTACTCAAGAGCTTTTCAATTACTTTGACAGGAATAGGATCATTTTTGATCAGGCTGCAGATGTTTCTCCATCCAACGACCGTTCCATAATCTTGTCATCCCTTTGACCGCTCATAGGGCCTTGCTTATTACAGTGAGCTGTAGGCAGGTCTTTGTCTTTAGGAAACGGATATTAAACCCATCTGTAAGCCAACATGGTTATATTGTCAAAGAGAAAAGGTTTAAAAGATGTTTTTATCCTGTGGACTGCTTTGTATTCATATCCCTTCATCAGTTCCAATACTATAAACCATAATTTATCTTATTTTCTAAAGGCTTACGCAAACTATTGCTTAACAGTGAAGTAGAATAAAAGTTTTATTTGATTTTAGTTCTTCATCTTTCAACACCAACAATCTAGAGGTTTGGTATACTTTATCTTGGTACCCCTAATTAAATGAAGACTTCTTGTTAATAAACAGAATACACCTGTGTATCAACACTACTAATTTGTGAAGGATTTTTTTTTTCAACATTACTTGACAGGAAGCATCTTAGATGTAAAAATGTAATGAAGACACAAGACAATTCAGAATAACAGTTTGTGAAGAGCGGGGTTAGGTTATAAAGCAATATGTTGAGCTTGAAACATCTCAAGGAGCACAGCCTAATCCTTCATCCCAGAATGGAAGGTAAGAACAACTGCACACCTTCCGAAACTTAGCCGTCCACATAATTTTACAGGCTGCAATAACGAGCTTTAATCAAAGATACAGCTTAGAGCTCCATAATTACTATGGAAAAGCAGCAGAGACTCATAGCTCAGGTTGAAGAACAAGTCTTGGACATAAATCTGGCTTTTTGTTTATGATTATCTGCTCATTATTGTGTGTGTATTTTTCATAAGATCATGACAAGATAGATTGATTTGAGGTTTGAATATGACTAAATATAAAGAAGTGCACGTGGTGTAGAGACTTTTGCGTGGCATTGAAAGCTGCAAAAAAAAAAAACTGAGGGCCTGAGGGCATGAGCAAAAATTTAACAATAGGGGCACACAGCTTTAAGAACCATCATCCCGGCTGTGCCTCTGGGAAATGATCACAGCCTGGACAATCCTGCAATCACAGATAGAAATTGGCCAAGGACTGCCTCCAGACTGATCACAAATGGAACATCAGGCATTTCTTCTTCATCGGTATTCCATTACTGGTGTGTCAGTATCATTAAAATACCTTATCTTGTAGATATGGGTGGGGAAGCTGCCTGTGATCCTTAGAGATGCTTATTTTAGGGACAGAGTAATATAGAGCACTAAACTGTGTCAGGAAAAGAAAAAAAACAGCTGAATGTTCCTTATCTTTGAAAATGATGAAAGATAAAAACATCATATATCTACTATTATTGCATAACCAAGACTGGAGGTGTTCTTGTGATCTCCAAGGCTCATCTCTTGCGAACATCTTTGCTGTTTTTTGTTAAAAAACTGATGTACATGCTGATGTTTCCTGTGTGTGAAATTGGACAAATTAGTACCAATTAGTGTTGATTACTGGTATATTATTCAGCAGATATTATGCAAAACGATTTATGTGGCCTTTATAAAAAGACAGGAACCAGGTGATTTACCAGAGAGATGCAGAGATGAGAGTGTCTCTCAGGCATTGAGAGAGTGAGAAACTGGCTTACTCACAGGGAGCTTCTGACTCCCATCTCCTTCTTTTCCATGAAACCTGATCCAGTCAGTCGGAGAAAATCAGTTGTTTTAGTCGTTCGCTTTAATTCTTACTTTGACTTTCTTGTTTTTCAGTGTCCAGAAGCTTAGTGAGTTTTTCTCCAGTGATGAGATTGGAGATGAACAGGAACCCAAGGCCACCATGTCCTCTGGCTGCAGCAACCACAACCAAAACAGATACCAGGCAGTGGTGGGTAAATCCAAACCTGACTCTCTATTCTTTGGAAATAAGGGGAAAACACTTGATTCTCTGCTCCTTTGTTTCTGCTCCGTCTTAGCTGTGTTTTTTTCTTAGCTCCTATTTTTATCTCTTCCTCCACCCGACCGCTATCTTTGACCAATAACCCTCCTTCTCGTTCTGGGTATCATACAACCCCCGTCTAGTCATCCTCTAAGCCTTTCCCTTCGTCGTCCTCCTCCTTTTTCTCCCGATACCTCCAGCCACTCAAGGTAGTGAACCGGAAGCACCCTCCGAGGGACGAGTGGAACAACTACAGCTCACAGGGGGACCAGGAAAGTGACAGGCTGTCCCAGGAGATGGGCCAAGACATCTGCATTAAGGTAACAATTATGAATCCGTTTTTCTCTGGCCACCTGAACTGATAAGAAATTAGATATGAGCAAAGGAGAAGGGATAGGTTGAAATTTGCCCTCTCCTGTATGGAATATTAAGTGTAACCCTCCAACAAAACAAGGACTGATTATGGTTATCTTGTGATTTTTGTCAGGGAGATGTAACTAAAGTTATGGAGCTAAAAATATCATTATTCTCTGCATTTCAGCGCATTTCCTTTTTCTGCAAACCCAACAGGCTGCAAGGCTTTGTAGTATTATTTCCTTTTGCTTCTTGAAAGGTTTCGCTGCTCTTTGCCTTGCTGAATAGTGTGCCTGAAAATATGATTCTTTTCTATGTAACAGATCCATCAGATCTTTAAATGAAGTAATTGGATTCAAGTGTCTCATCAAAACATGATCTGCTCATTTGAAGCAATGTTTGAAATAAACTGATTGATGAGTCTGCTTAATAGCCACTTTAGTTCAGAAATGTAACTGAAGAGAAAAAGGAAACAAAAACGTTCTGGATCAAAAATTCAAAATGCTGTGAATTCAAGTTTTTTTCAAATGTGACTGAAAATAGTCTCTCTGCTCTCTGGAGTTGTTCAACCACCTAAAGTCTTTTCAAAAGTATTACATTTTTATGGATTCCTATGAGGCTTCATGGTGGCACAGTGGCGCTGTTGCCTTGCAGGAGGAAGGTTATGAGTTTGATTCCTCGGCCGGGGTCTTTCTGCATGGAGTTTGCATGTTCTCCCCATGCATGCGTGAGTTATTTCCTGGTACTCTGACTTCTTCCAACATTGCAAAATCATGACTGTTAGGTTAATTGGCTTCTCTAAATTGTCCTTAGGTGTGAGTGTGTGTGTGTATGGTTGTGTGTCTCTGTGTCCCTGCGGCAGACTGGCGACCTGTCCAGGGTGTACCCCGCCCCTTGCCCATAGACTGCCGGAGATAGGGACTGGCCTCACCATGACTATGATGGAATTAGCGGGAAAAAATGGATGTATGCTTCCTATGAAAGACGGCTTTTCTCCTTTCTTTTTGAATGTCATCTTAATTCTTAACTTCTCCATTGTTTTCAGATAACTAGTGGTTATTTCACCTGGACTGACGGACCTCCAACACTGTCAAATGTGGATATTAAGATTCCCTTCGGTAAGCATCAGTGAATAAAGTCACAAAGTCTCTGTGAGGAACCCTCTCAGTTGAACTCTTTTTAAAAGAATATGCTTCTTTTTTAATTTGTAATGTCTCTGATGAACTTTGTCAGGGAAGCTGACGATGATCGTGGGTCAGGTAGGCTGTGGGAAGTCGTCTCTGCTGCTGGCAGCACTGGGAGAAATGCAGAGAGTTTCTGGAACAGTCATCTGGAACAGGTCTGATTTATTTTTTTTACTCTAATTGGCTGAAAATCTCTTTCTTGTATTTTTTTGTTATATGTTTTTTTTTCTTTCATTTTCTCTTTTCATCATATTACTGGCTGAAGAGAAGCAAACTATTATTTTGAAAAGTTTGTAATTTTTCTTAAAGTTTCTGTTTTTCTTTTTGCTTGGTAGTAGGTCTGTTTGGGATTTCTGGGTCGTTTGTGCAGCAATAAATTCTGAGTTCCTGACAGAGCAATTAACTGACCTTGCAAGAACTCTCTCTCGCTGTGATTTATCAGCTTCTATTTTTCATGGTAGGAAGTAGAGCCACAGAACAATGTGGGGATTGTTTAATGCACCACTAACCCATATTCAGCCAGCTTCTCCAGAGAACAAAGCTAAACAGTTGCTGTTCCTGCAAATAAGAACCAAACCAATCTACATTTCTGCCCCATTTACCTTCTATTCACCTTTGATACCATCTGCCGCATTACTGATTTGGCTGATGTGTACAAAAAAAAAATAAAAAAATCCATCTCCACATCTGTTGTTTTTTATTTTTTATTAACATCAACTAATACATTTAGCTGATAGTTCATAATTTATATTGATATAGTTTTTTTCATGTAATTCTAAATGGTAAAAAAAATAATATTTATAAGCAAACGATGTGACCTAATGGTTCAGAAAAAACAACAGCTCCAAGCTAATTATAATATTGCTAAAATTTATCCCAGCTAGCATTTCAAAGGGTAACCTGAACTGTCTTATGTTAAAGTGCATATTGCTCTATTTTAAGTAATCTTCCAATTATTCTCACTTTTTTTCTTTTTTAAATGAATATAGGAATTAATGGTTTAGTTACCTGGGTTGCTGATGTTGCTGATTTAAACAGTTTTGACTTGATAAAAAAAACCCATTGATACATTTAGGAACTCTTTTGTTAAGTAGTTTAAAAAAAAACACAGATTTTCTTACTACAGGGAGGAAAAAGATGTTATCATTAACCAAAAATAAGAATCAACAGCAATGTTTTTTTGTTTTTTGTTTTTTTTTGGCTTCAATGCTTTCGACAGCTTATAGGTTTCTGTGTTCTTTCTGTGTTGATTTTCTGTTCAGCCAATCTGTCAGCTGGGTTATTGCTCACAGATAGAGAAAGCTTTTTTTTTGTATTTAGTGTTTGTCTTTTGTTATATATTTAAATGATGATCTTTTGTTTTTGTGTTGCATCACTTTGGACAAGTGCAGTTGCTCTAATATCTTCTACACAAATATATTTGATTTGATTAGATTAAGTTAATCACAAATTTCTAACATATAATTTTTTTCAGATTTCAGTTCAGGAATATGTGCTTTTTGTTAAATATTTGCATGAACTCAACAGTGTTTGCTGGTATAAACATGTTATGGCTCTATTTGCTGGAATACCTGTATCACTGGAATGGAGGTACTGAACCTGTGGCTGCGGTTCTGGAAGGCCCAGGTTGCTTTAATGGTGACCTTCAGCTCATCTGTATTATTGGTTTTAGTGTCTCTCTTCTTCCTCTGTACTGTAACCAGTTTAGTTTAGGGAAGTTTGCTGAACACTCCAGCTTTACTTCCATCGCAGCTTTACTATAGTCTTTGCATTGTGGGAGGATCCCAAATCCAGCTATATAATAAAGTCTGCATCTTCATGAAGCTTGTGAGCAGAGGGAGAATGAAATGCTCTTTATTATTGGATGGCTGAGTTGACTTTGGACTTAAAACGGATCAGACAAACACGGGCAGATTTTATGGTTCCTCAGATTATTACTGAGACTGAAACCTTTAACAGGACCTTCCTATAGTCTTTTTTATCCTGACCTCGGGAAATAGGCTTCAGATAGTGTCTCTAGCCTGGTAGTGGTTTAACACATGAAATGCAGCAGTTGAAATCAATTACCTATTTTATTTCAGCATGCTACATCTTGAAACTCTATCTCCTTTAAACTCTTAATTAAATGTCACAGTAATCTCAACACTGCAGAGATCCATGTCACATGTACCAGATTTTTTCCTTCTATCACAATTTTCGCAATATGCTTTAGTACAGCGGTGTGAACAGCCAGCCTTCTTAAGAATGACTTTATCTATCTTGATCTCACTGGAAAACTGTACAGTCAGTAGTATATGTGTACCAGAACAAAATGAGGCATTAAAACTGTTTTTTTGGTTATAGCCAAGATACTTAGTTTGGGATTTTCATTTACTGAACAAATCTTAGAAATGAACAAACAAATGAAAAAATAGGAGGAAAAAAAAACAAAAAACACTTCAAATAATTTTTCTCTCCACAGTCCTATTTCACCCAGATTCCCTACTGCTCCTCTGTTCTTTCACAGCAATCAACAGATCTGTTTTCTCATGCAGTATTTTTTTTTTTCTGACGTCACATCCTGAACCTCCAGATGAACAAAATACACTGTTTGAATTGTTCGGTGTTTCATATTCACAATCCAGCTGATTGAGAACAACCCCCATCTTCTGCAAAACACCACATTTATTTAAATTCATGTGGCAGTCTTAAAATCCCTTCTATTGTTCCATCTGACAGCGCTCTAGATGGAGCCATGTTTCCTGTCAGTCAGCTGCAACAACTAATTAAAGTCTACAGCTTCTCTCTAACAAAGGCAGATGCTTTTTGCATATTTAGACTCATCTAGTTATCTATTTTAAACATTTATTTACAAAGGGATTCAACTTTATCTAAAAATTTCTCTATTTTCAAACAAGACGCCACTAGATCCTGAGATTTGTCCAACTTTCCAGGACAATATGACTGCTATCAGAGAATTGGAAGGATTTTCTGTATTGTGTTTGATTGAGATGCTTTTCTTGTCTACATAGGTGCAATCAAATCAATTCAATCCAGTTCAGTTTATTTGTATGGTGCAAATTCACACATGTCTCAATGCACTTTACAATTTAACCAGATCATGTAGTCAAATTGATTAAAAGTTTTCTATCTAAGGAAAACCAGATGATTCCATCGACTCCTTAACCCGAAGGCAATCCCTTTTAACAGGAAGGAACCAGCACAACCAGACTCAGTGTGAGCGGCCATCTGCCGAGGCAGACTGGGGTTGAAATAGACAGAAGCAGAGATACAGAAAGAATAAAATATACAAAAGGCAACTGTCAACCAGCTCCACAGACGGCCCCATCCAGAAAACACACAGCTGGGCAGATGAGCTCCGAGCCAGCTGCCATGTTAAAGGATGAGAGAGAACACATCCAGCATGTCCCAGTCAGAAAAACAGGACTACACTGAAAAACAGGCCGAGCTCCATATTCTATAAAGAAAGGTGTTAATGGCAGCAACACAGCTGATATTTCTCTCCAGGACGGTGTCACCACCAAACAGGAACAGACCAGATGAAGCTACTATGAGAAAAGCAGAGAGAGCAAAGTGTTAGAGATTGAAATAAAAAAAATTCTGCAGAGAGGGAGACAAACAGAGGTCATGAGATCATCTGCCACACTTTGAAAAGAATTGGATTCACACTGAGTGGTCCATGGGGAAGGAAAATATATAGAATAACAGCAAATTGCTCTGAACTGTCAAAACAGGCAGCATTGAAAAAAGAAGGGCTAACTTGCCTTAAAGAAGGACAGATTTCACCCATTGAGAGACGTGTTATTATTTACTGTTATTCTTTTTTACTATGTATGCATTTTTGTTTGCCTAAATGCCAGTATGAGAATGCATTTGAGATGCTCTTGTCTGGGCTTTGTTAGCCTTTGCATATTTCAGATGTATTTCTGTGTCATGTTGGGTTTTTTTATTGTTTAGTTGTTGTTTTTTGCTACAAACTTGACTGCTGGGCTTAACTGAATGAATGGCAGCATGGGGAAAAAGAATAAAACCAAAGCATCAACACAACAAACCTAAGTATGCCGAATAAATGAGTAGACACCTATAGAGGAAATAGTAAGTGTGTTATAATGACCATCACAAAGTCTTGGTCCGATAGAAAAATGGCTTTTGAAAGGATAATGTTTGGCTTGAGTTTTATAGCTTAAAGGGAAATTCTACTGAGGAATCGTATTGAACCAGAAAATATGGATTTCTTATTATTCAGATATTCAAAAGATAAAAATATTTTTGATTATATACTAACTAACCTAAAGCAGAAAAAAAAAAACAATTGATTTAATCTCAGTAAGTAAAAATGTTGTCATTTTTGCATCTTTGGACTATTTCTGAAAACAAAAACACATTTATCTAGTTGTGACTGTGTGTTTCCTATTTTCAGTTTCAGAACATAAACCGACCAGCAGAGTGCATTTAAATGAGCTCAGTGACCAGTGAGACGTCCCTGTTGCTGAACGTTGGGTCACCTCTCAGAGTCATGCAGCTATCAGTCTCCATTTGTCACGGATGTTTTTAGTTTCCTGATTAAAGCTGCTTGGCAGATATGCTTAGCCTCTTACTCACTTCAGCTGCACCAATGCCAGGGTCATACTGGCACCACCTCTGATTTTGGCTTCAGTAAAATCACTTGTCACCTGCGTGAATCGTCCTCCGATGGCTAAGCAGCTGTCAGCTCTCCTTGGGAAGCATTTTAAGAGTTTTCTTTTTGTGCTTCAAGCATGTTGACTGCTGTTATGTAATGCTATAGTCACAACTATTCACCCTTTAACACACCCAGAGTGGCACCATCTCATTCTAGACATATTTCCTTTTTGTTCAGTGCAGAACTAGAGGCAGCAATAGCAAAGTGTTGGAATCAGAAACACTAATATACGGTAGCAAAAGGCAATAGTCTGTGCCTCGCGGAGGGTGGGAGGTATTACTAATCAGAGGGTGAGTCTGCAAGACTGCCATGTCCATAAAGATGTTCTCAATCACTGTGATCGGAAATAGGTTGTGATTGTGACTTAACTATAACTAGCCTCCTGCTGGTATTCATGAGTCCATCTGTCAGAGCTTTAAATGTAAAAAAAATGTCACATTAAACCGGCTGTCTGATATATCTGTAGGAAAAAGA